CAGCGTCTCTTCTCTCTTCTTCTGCTTCTGCGAATGGTATCACTAGATGCCCACTCCAGGCTAGTCATCCCACTCAGCCCTACATTCAAATAATTGGTCACCAAGTCCTGAAAATTCTCTCTCCTTAGCAATCATCACCTGTGTCCTCCTCTCTCTCCCCTCAGCCACTTCCTGCATCCAACCTATCATCACCATCACAGCGACAAATTCCTCATCCACCTCCTCAGCCTTCAACATCAGATCCCCACAGATCATTTCCCATATTTTTTTGGGTGTCTTTTTGTAAAACAGCAAATCTAATCTTCCACTCATTCAACAAGCATTACTGAGCATCTGTTGTGTTCCAGTCTTCATCCTAGTTGCTTGGGACATGATAGTGAATACAACAAAAATGTCTGCTAGATACCTAGTCAAGAGTCTAATGGGAAGAAGAAAGCAATAAAAATAATAAATTATATGATATCTTTGAAGGCCATATGGATAGAAGGAAAAAAAACAGAGCAGGGCACAGGATATCAACAGTGTTGAGGGCATGTGTGCATGCATGCACGCATGTGTGTGTGTGGGTGCGTGTGTGTGTGTGTGTGTGTGTGTGTGCCTGAGTATGGGCTAAAATAGGGTAGCCAGGGTAGTCCTCACTGAAAGGCTGGTATTTGCTCAAAGGAGGTGAGGGAGTGAACCACGGGATATTGGCAGAGAAGAACATTCCTTGCAAATAGAATAACCAGAGAAGTACTCTAAGCTCGCACAGCAAGTGTGCCAGTGTGGCTGGAGCAGAATAGGTGCAGGGAATAGAGAGCATGAGGTCAGAATTAAGGGAAGTTACTTGAGGCCTTGTAGCAGGATGGAGCCATGGGAGGGTTTTAAGCAGTGGGGGATATGCTCTGACTTCTGTGTTGAATAATCACTGTGTTGATGATGGTGACTCATACCAGGGAGAGGCAGAGGAGACTGTGAGAGATGGTGATATCTCTGTTCTGTGGAAAATCTATCAGCGACTTTTCCTTAGTCTTCAGATAAAATCTGAACGTGTCAGTGTGGCCCACAAAATATTTCAGGATTGGGGCCCTGCTTATTTATTCATCACTTCCTGGTATTTTCACACTCCCAATGGCCCCGATGTTCTAAAGCTGCTGGGTTTTTAATAAGCATCTTCTTCTCTCCTCTCATCATGCCATGAGGCTGTGTAGATGGCTTCCTCTGCCTCAACCACAGTGTCCTTCTGAGACTTCACTAAGCCCCTTTTCCTCAAGGAAGCCTCTCTTCTCCATACCGTGCATCCCAGAGCAGTCCATGCATACTTCAATGATTGGGATTATAGCTCTGAGACAAATTGTTCTGTCCACAATCTGTCTTTCTTACTAAATTGAGAACTCCTAGAGGGTAGTAATTTATTTCTGAGTCCTTAGTGGACATTAAATGGATGCATGGATGATAGACAGATGCATGGATGGGTGGTTGCTGGCTCTTCATCAGATCTTGAATTCAAAGGATTTTATTTTCAGTTTATAATTAGTTAAGCATTAGAAAATGCTTAAAAACTAGTTATAAAACATTAACTTCTTAGCTGTTGAAGGGATGGCTGAAGGAGTGCGCTCAGGTAACTACTTGTGAGCATATATGCTCATCAACTAACTGCATGTGACGGCTGTGTGAGTGGAAAGTTAAATATAAGAGGAATCTTGATAAGTGGCCTCTTATTTGTCCATTGACCAAATATAATTTCAGTCGTGCATTATTTTCTTGACATGCTATTCAATTAGCAGTGGTTCACACTATAATCTTATGTTCCTTAATATTTAGCTTTCCCTACCAGCATCTGTCAGATGCATCATTCAGCTGAAAGGATTAATTTCTATTTGGCAAAAGATTGAGGAGAACCCTTTTAAAACATGAGGAGTCTTTTTGCAATACATATGCATTTCCTAGTTCATCTGTTTTTCTACTGTTATCATTGCCCAGGTTGGGCCTCAGGGTCTTCTCATCATGAGAAATATTGTAACATGTTGGTTGTGTGTGTCAAGCTGGAAGCAGACTCCTTCCCCAACTATTGCTTCAGAAAGGCAGAGGAAGCAACTCTCAGATGGTGGCTAGAGACATATTTCTCATCCCTTGTAATCCTTGGAGGACAGAACCCAAAGGAGCAAACTCTCCCTCAAAGTGTCACTTCCTCAACAAGGCCATCCCTCACAAAAGTACACTGTAGACTGTATGGAAATGAAACAAAACAATAGCACATTTTCTCAGATTTGAATATTTGAATATTATTCTAAGCCTGGAATAACTGTAATGTAATCAGAAGGTTTAAATAAGAGATGTGAAGGATTCTGAGTGAGGTCTCAGGTAGGCACCTTATCTAATTTGTGACCAAGCCAGTGGAATTAGAAGCCTCTCAACCACATCCCTGAGAGGTAGACGTTTCAAATTGGCTTGGCCTTTGCAGAAAAAAGGAGCTTCTTTCTCAAGGCAGCCCCCCAAAATATGGATTATTTCTAAATGTTAGAAGGCAAACCCTTATATGACTCCAAATAGACTTTCCACCCTTCCAGGAAACAGGATAGGTTGAACACATGCCTCTATTTTTATTCCCACCTAAACAAAATTCATCTTAACAACAGGAAGGGGATTTTTTTTTCCTCTGAAGGTACAGCCTCACAAGGATAAAGTAAATGGAAACAGCAGCAGCAAAAATGTGGAGTTTGGAAGACAGATAAAAACATGGCAAGTTTTTTAGGAAACCCCAAAAAACTAAATCCTTAGGTCAGCTGTGGGAAAAGCTGAGAGCCAAAGAACCATTTTACAAGGCAGAACCCCCTCCCCCACAGGCCCCAGAATTGGCAGCCCTACTGGCTAAATCATTGATGCCATACCTTCACCTTTTAGGCAGGAAAAAGGAATCCAATATCATTATTATCTCTGGAAAGACGAGATAAAATCCATTAAACAGGAAGCTGCCATTATAGAGGAAAATTCGAGAAATAAAAAGTTCTTTGAATTTAAAATTGTGACAAACATTTTTTAACTCAATAGAATCGTTAGAAGATAATATTTTCCCCAAGACATAGAACAAAAAGACAAAAAAAATGAAATAAAAGAAAAAAGATAAGAAAACCATAGGACCAGTCCAGAAAGTACAATATCCAAGTACTGGGCATACAAAAAAGAGAAAAGAAAGGGAAGAAAATAATCAAATAAATGGTTTGAGATCACTTCCCAAAACATTAAGAGCAGAGAGAAGATTCCAGAAGTGTTGAGAGGAGGAAAAATTCAGTCCATCATACATAGTATTAATACTCACAATGGATTTGGAGTTCACCCAGCAATACTGGAAGCTAGAAGGCAATGGAGCAATCTCTTCAAAAATCCAAAGGAGGGGCACCTGGCTGACTCCGTCAGTAGAGCATGTGACTCTCAATCTTAGGGTTGTGAGTTTGAGCCCCATGTTGGGTATAAAGATTACTTAAAAATAAAATCTTAAAAAAAACTTGAAGGAAAATTATCTCCAGTGTTGAAATATACACCCAGATAAACTATTACTGAAATGTGGGAGTAGAACAAAGTCATTTTCAAAGATGCAGTGTTTCAAAGTGTACTTCCCATATATGTACACTTTTAGAAAAGTGCTAAAAAGATTTTCTTTATAAAATGAGGGAGAAAACTGAAAAGAGGAAGAACAAGAGGAGAGAGCAAACAGGAGGTACGAAGAAGAGGAGCAAATAGCATCCCCCTGATGACAATAAAAAGAGGGCCCAACATGATAGCTGTGAATCAGGCTCAGGGCAGCCAGAGCAAATCAGAAAATGAAGCCAATGAAATGAACGTCTCACAGGGCTGGTTGTCTTGAGAGGAGATTGAGATAATGGGTAAAAAATGCTAAGTACTCAGAAGTCTAAGCAAATGAAAATAGAGAGTCAAAAGATAATACTCCAGTCTGAGAAACCAAAAGAAGCAATACAGGCATGTTATTTAAAGACATGGAATAGATACCAAATAATCATCTAAAAGGAGAGAGTGTGGAGATCCTTGGGGATGGAAATGGGGAGAAGAGTCAAGCTTTTCAAATGTGCAGAATTATTATACTCTTTAAGCAAGTACATATAGCTCAGATAGAAATAAAAATAATTTTTAAAGGAAAAGAAAAAAAATTCCCCCAAATGCACTTTTTCAAGTTTTTGAAGATGGCTATTGTTTTCCCTTCTTCCAGACAAACGTTTCTAGTTTTCTCAGCTGTCTTTCATATGACCTCATTTCAAGATATCTTGTCATGAAGCCTCTCTTCCAGACACTGTCTGGAATAGTCAGGACTGGACACCATAAGGCACCATATGGCCCACCAAACCTTTACTTACTGGCACATTACTTCCCACATTCAAGCCATGTATTCCTCATCCTTTCTTATAAATTGATGTTTTGAACCTAAATGCAGAGCCTTCATTCTTGCTAAATTTCATTTTATTGATTTTTTTACAATAGATAAATCTATTTGGTTAAAATAATATTAAATGCTGACATTGACATCCAGTATATTCTTTTTCTTAGCTTTGTGCAGTCAATAAATTTAGCAGTACAGAGGAGACTGTTGAACAGGGCACAGGGAGAACAGAGTCCAGTGGCACGTCAATAAAACCTCCCCACAGGGTGGGATTCACCTGGTACTATTCATTTCCCTTTGACTAGAGGTGTTCGCTCATTTGCTCAAAAGATATAATACAAGGACACCTTTGGGAGAAGAATGAAAAAGAAACAGTACTGGTAATAATAATTGCAGAAGTTTTGGTTCTCTCAAGTCACAGTAGGACAATTGATTGTATTCTTCACTTGCATCTAGGTGAAAAGGAATGAATCTGTTGGAGCTTTGCCCTGTAATGGATGAGCCATCTCATCCATTAACACACAGGCATGCACACACATACACACACACGCACAGTGAAAAAATTTCTCAGTATACCTGCTGGGAACCAGAGAACCAGAGTCCTAAGTGACACTGGTCTTCCATAGCCATGGAGCTTCTGAAGTGTGGGAAGGGTTCTCATGGGTAAGCATAGAGAGCCCTACACTGCTTCTTAAGGGGTCCTGGGTGGGGGGCTGGGAACTTGAGGTTCCAGATGCCTTGACAGCCTCCCTCCAATCTCTGTGTCCTTGGATATTCATCCTGGTGCTTGGATAGTGCTAGATTTTTTTTTTTTTTGGACAAACTGAAAGATAAAGTTCAACGTGAACAATTGGCTCCCGATACAAACATACTCAAACTCATCAAGCCAGAAATGTGGAGAAGGTTCTTCAGAATGGATGAAAAACTGATACAAGAAAGATGATTTAATTTTCTCCTGTAGATATCTTCAGACAAGAACAGCTTTTGTCATAGGTAACCCAGGAAATCTATCTGCTTTATGCCTGGTGGAGATTAAAAAAAAAAAACAGATTATGAATCTTGTCTGAATTAAAAAAATATTGATGGATCAAACAGAAACTATTATGAGAATGGAATATAAATTACAGTCAAGTACTTATTCCTTGTTTTAGAGACTTTGTCCCCATCAGGTAATTCAGCACGAGAGACTGAATGCATGTTTCCCAGCAGAATTTAAGGGTGTTTTCTAGATTTTTATCTCTTGAAATATGAATGCATGTTTAAAATCAGTCACCTTTGAGTCCTGAGCACCATCACCATTTCCTTAATCTCACTAAGTCTGTAAACTTGGCCAGTTTTTCTCTTCTGCCCCATTACTGTCATGAAAATTTCTTCCAAGAAATTAAATGTATCTAGAGAAAAGTAACAGATGATGAATGGTATTATGAAGAAGAGGTTAATGGAAGGAGGTCAGAAAAGTTTTTATTCGAGAGAGAAATTTAAATGAGAGGTTAATTGACAGAAAAAGTGAGTTGAGGGATTCTCAAAGTACCACAAAGGAGAGTGCAGCCTGAGGAGATGTACTTGTTATTTGCTCTATTGTTGAAGAATAGGCACTTCATAAAGTAACAATACCAGACATTTTAAACCGCTTCTTGAAAACTGCTTTTAAAGGAAAAAGTTCCATTTTACCAGTGAAATCAGATTCATTGTGGGTATTGTTATGGAAGCCAAATCAATTTAGACCATAAAATAAATCTTAAAAGAACAGCTCCACAGGTAACAATGGAGGTTGTCAGGTAGCCAGCATTGGTTTTTGAGGTGCCATAATCTGAAAGTAGAAACAAGACAAATAATGGGTCCTGAGTTCTGAAGTTTGGGAATTGAGCTCTACTCAATTAATAACTTTCTGTACTCTTTGGCTTAGGTTGGTTGGGGATGAAGGGCCTTGGGTGGAACATTTGAGAAAACTCAGCAATAAAGGGCTTCATCAGGCAAAGATGGTTGGAGAGGCATGTGTAAGAGGTGAGGAAACCTGAAAAGGAATTTGGAGACATGAGTCTTTGCATAGACTCTCCCTCACCCCTTATGATGTGAGATAGCACAGCAAAAGTTATAACCAAACTGAGAGGAAGTGAGGAGTGATCACCAATTTAGACGGTCTCATCAGTCTGATAGAATCATTACTCACAGAAGAGTCTCAAGGAATAATTTTTGAGTGGCTTGAAACATACAAATTTAATACTTACAAGTGCTCAAAAGTAATGAACAATTTAAATGAAAAAATAAACTGCCATGATAGCAATGAAAAAATACAGAGTAAGATCAATTAAAAAATAAAAAATAGAAAGTGCAGAGTAAGAGAACTTTATTATGATATAACTAATACAGTGGGGAAAAAACCTAATTACTATGGGAAAAAAATCCAATATTGGGACTGCTTTTGGGGAAGCCAGCGCACTTCTATGGTTGCTGATGGTATATATAAAAATGGCTTACTTACAGGTTTCAGTGAGTCAGAGATCACCGTTCCAGGTTAGATCTAACTCAAATATTTTCAAGGTCATCTCAAAGGATCCCTTGCAGCTCTAAAACAGTCCATAATTCTGTGACTTGCTGAACTACCCAAGCATCAATTATAGACTCTTGTGTACAGTTAGTCTAGCTACTAAGAATGCTTTAAGCTGTAATCCAGGCTGCTTGGGTCTGAATCCTGACTCTTCTACTTGTGAATTCTGGCAAGTTATCTAACCTTTCTGGGCCTCACATTCCTTATCTTTTAAAAAAAAGAACAATAGGCCACCGCTGGGTGGCTCAGCGGTTTAGCGCCTGCCTTTGGCCCAGAGCCTGATCCTGGAGTCCTGGGATTGAGTCCCACCCACATCGGGCTCCCTGCATGGATCCTGCTTCTCCCTCTGCCTGTGTCTCTGCCTTTCTCTCTCTCTCTCTCTCTCTCTCTCTCTCTCTCTCTCTCTGTCTCTCATGAATAAATAAATAAAATCTTTAAAAAAAAAAAAAGGAACACTAATAGTGCCTATCTCATAGGTTTATGCTGAGGAGTAAATAGGTTAATATGTATAATGTGCTTGGAAGAGTAGTTGACACGTAGTAAAAAGTTAAGTGTTTGCTATTTTTAAATAGCAGGATAAAATGGCAAAAGATAAAGGAATTTATCTTTCTTTCATTAACAAAAATGTCAGGATATAGGTGGTTGCTGCATTGCTTTAGCTTATCAGCGGTGTCATGAAGAGCCTTCAGTCTCTATTATGTCCCTTCACCATCTTTAGTATGTTGGCTTTTTGTCCTTCAACCTGTGCCTCATAGTCTCACAATGGCTGTCATAGCTCTAGACATCATGTCACATATTAACTGTGTTTAAAAACAGAAAGAATGCCAGCCAGGGAAGAGGAAAAATGAGAGAGAAGGGGAGAGAGAGAGAGAGAGAGGGAGAGATACAGAGAGACAGAGACAGAGAGAGAGGAAGAGAGAGACAGAGAGAGAGACTGCTCCCACACTATTTTCACATTTTCTGAAGAAGCAAAATATTTTCCCAGGGTCCCTTGCTGATTTTACCTTATCCAAATTGGCCAGAACTGAGTCATAGGACATCTCTGATATCAAGGGATCTGTGCCTTGGTTTTGTTAGCAAACAAGAGGTATGAGAATACCTGTTGGGCAGACATGGGTCCCCCACAGTGAAGCATTCCTGGTTTTTTTTTTTTTTTTCAAATGTTTTGCTCCTGCTTCAGCTGTGGAAGGACAGTCTGTCTCCCAGAACATTCATGTGAATTGCTCAATAATTAAAGAGCTTTTATAACTCTGTGTGGTCACTGATGCCATTTCCAAGTTCTTCCCATTTGACTTCAGGATACTCAGAGTCCTTAGCTAGTCAATATTAGTTGAATCCTTATTCTCTACTGGGCCTTGTGGGGGCCCTGAAAGCCTTCCGGTTGTACATGTCTGAGTGAGAAAACAAAAGCAGTACACATCAAGCATATCCTGGAGTCCAGAAAAGGAAGGGATCAAAAGGTCTAGCACAATCAGAGAGGAGCCCATCAAGGAATTAGTGAGGCCTCAGAGGTTGGGAGGGAATTCCTGACCAGAAGGATAATCTGAGAAAAGACTCCTGGTTGGCATAAACAGGATGTGGGAGGGAATTCGTTCATATCCAATTGAGATTTTTATCTTTTCCCTTAGAACGTGGAAGAAGCTGCCCAAAATTGAGAACATGCCAAACATTAACATTAATAACGCTGTGACCTCTCCAAATGTAAACTATATTCGCAGGAAAGTGCATGGAGACTGGATTACTCAGGTGAAACAAAGGAAAAAATAAAGGAAGGAAATAGAAAAGAAAAAGAAAGAAAGAAAGAAAGAAAGAAAGAAAGAAAGAGAAAAAGAGAAAAGAAAAGAAGAGAGGGAGGGAGGGAGGGGAAAAGAAAAGAAAGAAAAGTTTAAATAAAAGTAAATTGGGATTTGCCAGACTGATGTATCTCTCCAGGTATATCAGCCAGACAGCATATATATATGTATTGTTTAATGAGTGACCACTATTCCCAAGATAACTTTATTAATTAAGCTGAAAACAAATAAAAATAAATGTTGTATGAAATACCCAGAATAGTACAAAGAATGATAAACATCTAGTTTCTAGAAGCTAGTGAGATTGATCAGTTTGAACTCCTGGCATGCTTGTTTTGGGGGTTCCCATTCATCATCATTTGGATCTGAAGACAGTAAGTGTGATTTCCTTTCTCTTTTTGTTTAGGGCCAGTAATATGACTTTAGACATGAGAGTCCTTTCCCTGAAATTTTACTGGCTCTGAGAAGCTAAATTAGTGTTTCTTAAACACAAAAGCAAGCAAGATAGTGTTCTTTATGTTAAGGCAGCACAGAAACCCAATATAGAGTGGACACTTCCTGAGGATTAGAGAGAGAAGGGTTTTCAGGGTTGATTGAACACCAGGTAGGGGAGGAGAGACTCCTGCCAACATCTTTTGTCTATTCCTAAACACATCGGGCTTAAGGCAAGAAAAGAGAATATTAGTGGGTGAAAGGAAAAATAGGAAAACAACCAAATTTATTTGCTAAGTGAAAAGGAAAATTCAAGGGGAAGAAAAATTGGACCAAGAACATAGCATTTGTCTAAAAGATGAACACTGACCAAGTTTCAAACACAAGAAGAAGAAAATAAAATACCAATTCTGGAGTAGAAAGGAAATGAGAATCAAGTAAAAATATAAAAAGAAAACAATCCAACTAAACAGCCACATGTAAAATTGCCGTATGTAATACCTATTATTTTTCAAAGGTGATTGGTACAAGACCTTTACTTCCTTAAACTTTTCTGAGGTAGCTGCATATCATAAATTTATGCATCTTGAGTGTACAATTAATGATTGTTGATAAGTTTACTGGGTTATTCAGTTATCACTGTAATGCAGTTTAAGAACATTTCCATTACCCCAATAAGACCTCTGTTAACCATGTAGAGTTAATCTTCATTCCCACCCCCAGTGCCAGGCAACCACTAATCTACTTTCTCTATCTATTGATTTGCCTTTTCTTGCCATGTCATGTAAATAAAATCATATATTATGTGGCCTTTTGTGCCTGGCTTCTTCTACTTGGACATTTTGCCCCACTGAATTGCCAGCCCTCATTGCCTTGGAAGGTGAAAAGAACAATACCAAAATCTAGAGTCAGTGCCATCCAAGGGATGGCCACACAAGGAGAGGTGGGGTGAGGGGGGTAAACAAAGCCGGGCATTGGCATTGGCCATGTAAAAAGGGGGCTAACAGAGAGAGGCTATACCAGAGAATTCTCCATCACCCCAGGGGTGTGTTCCTGGAGTCCCCATTTGGAAGTCTGCCACATGAGCCATCTTGAGGGAGCCCATTGCAACAGAGAAAAGACAGAGACAGTTCTGAGCTCTGTAGGTTGCTCAGGGCACTGGATCCTGCTCTGCTGGATGAGGCCTCAAGCTCCAGAAACCCTGTCTCCTCTCCCCACCCCACCCACCCCACCCCACCCCCGCCCCACAAGCTTACTCTTTGTCTTCCTGTGTCTTTGGTTCTCTGGTTTCTGCCCTCCTTGAGGGTTAGAACTAAGGGTTATCATCTGGGCATGCCCCTCTGAACCTAGCATAGTGCCCGGAAGGTCTAAGAGAGAAACCAATCATTTCTTGTAGCTAATATGTTGCTCTTTCAACACTACTATGGCTTTATCCATTTTACATGTTTTATATCCTTAATAAGGACTTCCTCCAGGGAGGAAGTGTTCTAAGATCAGAAAAACTCCTCAAATCCCACCAACCCCTGTCCCTTGAACCTGAGACCAGCCCTGGCACCAGCCCGAAGGTCCTGGTTCCCTAATCCTGGCACATCTGCTGCTTCAGAGCCTGGTTCTTGATTTTTAAAGACAGGGGAAGAGAGTCTTTTACCCTTCCCAGTATGATACTCAGCATAGCGTCCAATTTAAATATGATTTATAGTGAAGGATACGCTGTTTTCTCTGTGAAACCCCTGCAGCTATGTAGGCAGCATTCCGATTTTCTCAGAAATATCTAAAATACATAGTATAAACTTCAGCACAGTCTGCCAGACAGGATACCCAGGAATTGTTGTTCTGGTGTTAGCCTTGAGCGAGCGTCAAGGAGAGAGAACCCCCACACACTCACTCCGCCAGGCCACCTACACGTCTGCCCACTTGCAAAAGTGGGTTTTTAAAAATATGCCTATCCTCTGAGGAAGTTGTTCCTTTCTCTTTCTAAAAATGGGTGTCAAGAGAATGCTTTAGGTATTGTTACAAATTCTTTCTTGACCTGGTGTGTGATCTTCATATTAATTAGCATTTTGTCTTTTTTTGTCATTTCTAGCTGAACTACTATGATTCCATCAAAGCCGTCATTTCAAGCTCCAACCATGAGCCTACTGCTCTAGTAATAGGTACTGCTTTCACTTCCCTTACGTTCGTAATGTTCTCTGTGTGCCAGATCCTTGGATCTCCCACCTTTATAATTTCTGCATTGCAACAGGCATCCCACACTCTGCAGCTCAAAATGTGACAACCTCCACTGTTCGGTTTGCCTTTAGCTTTATAAGACTCACACTATGCTGTTAGAGAGGCAGAGTGAGGGAGGGCACTCCTATCAGGGCTTCACAAATACTGAGAGCTTAATCAATATTTGTTGATTTGAAATAAGAGCAAAATCCACTTCAGGCAACCTCAGGCTACACCATTTGAGCACCTCTAATGTGTTACAAGATATTAAATATACAGTAATGTCAACATAGGACAGCAATCTTGGGGCATTTGCGTGAAGTGAGAATGAGGAATATCTACAATTCAAAAGGCACACTGGAAATAACACTTTCTGTGATGGCAACAGAAAGACCCAGAACCTGAAGACCTTTGCGTTTTTTGGAAGCTGGACTTTGACCAAATGCATTCAGAGAAAGGCCGAGGGAGAACCCAGATCTTAATCCATCCCTCACTCTTACATCCCCCAATGCACAGCTAGTCTGGGTATGGGCTTGGCCAGGCTGACCCTGGGTCCATGAAGTAGGGAATGTGGCAGAACAAGTCAGTGCCGCTCACGTGGGAATCACTTTGTCTGGACCAGATGGAGGGCAGACATCCTGGTACTGGGTGAAGGACTGGTCTAGATTTGAACCAAGATCCTTTATAAAGGATCACTCCCTGGATACCAGCTCATGGTCAGAAGTAAATGCAATCTCTGGCCCTAAACACTAGTATCAGACACTGTACTAAGCCCCTTCATTGTATTATTTTAATCTCCAAAACAACCTTATGGTTTAGGTCCCACCGTTAGTGTCATCTTACAGATGAGTAAAGCGAAGCATAGAACTTGTCCTGAGGTATCATTCAAGACTTTTTTTTTTTCAATATTAAAAGAAATGTAATTCAAATGGGAAAGCAAAAGGAGAATTTCTTGGATGACATGAGAAGGGCAGAAGTGCAACCCAGTGTTGGGAAATCCTGGTAGCAGAGGCTCAGATGCTGCTCCAACTCTCTCTCTCTTTCTCTCTTCACAGTGGATCCCTCAGAGGGTGAAGAGCCCATCTGTCATGCCACTTTGCCACCAACAGACTGGCTGCCACTCTGGGTCCCCAGTCCAGCTGCTCCTGAGAAGGTTCCCAATGGAGCATGTTGGCCCATCTTTGGGACAATTGGAAGTCAAATGACCCAGGAAAGGCAGGGGCGGTAAGAACCTGGCAGTGTCTCTCCAACCACATGATGTATGAAGAGGTGTGCTTTCAGAAGTAAGAGTGGAAAGAGGAGGTTTGCTAAAAAAAAAAAAAAAAAAAAAAAAAAAAGTGAAGAGTGAGGACTGCACTGAGTCACACAACTCAGAAATGGAAGACCAAGGACTGGAATCCAGGTTGTCCAGGCTGGTGCTTGTAATCCTTGAATGCACAGCAATGGCATCCCCTGTGTGTGCACTAGAATTCCAGGGTCCCAGGCTCCCCTTGGAACAATGGAATCAGTCTACACTTGAAAAAGAACTGAGGGTGACTTATGTACATGTCAAGTCCAAGAAGCATCTTTTAGTCACAATAACAATATTTTCTCTTTTTTGTGTTATACTAATATTTTTATAATTTTTTCTAATAATTTACCCTTTGAAGATCTTCTCAATTCCTCATATTTACTTCATTAAACTTTATATTTATTTTGTGCAGCCCTTGAGAGTATGTTGGAAAGCCCCATCCAATTATTCAGCATCACTATCACCATATTTAATTTTCAAGTTTATTCTAACAGTGATTCCTTCCATGTGTTTAGCGTTTACTAATTTGTAAGAACTTTCACATTCATTGGTGGTTCTCAGCCTTCACTGCCTATTGGAATCATCTGGGGACTTAATAAAAGCTAGATGCCTGGGTCTTATCCTCAGATATTCTGACCTGACTGGTCTGGGATAAAGCCTGGGCATCGACACCTTTAAAAGCTCCCCCAGTGATTCTAAAGATTTAAAACTACTGTTCAAGGAGGTATGGCCCAGACTTCTGCATTATTTGGACTCTTTACAGTGGCTTTAACTTGCTGCCAAGGGCAAGAACCACTCACATTCATTACACTTCTTGTTTGATATTCATGATAGCCAGGTGAGGTATGAATTGTGCACATATCCCATTTTACCAGTGAGGACACCTAAGCTAAAATTTGCCCATTGGGTCACTTAGCTGGAAGAGGGAATTGGGATGCAAATCTGGTTTTTCTTACCCCAAGGCCAGGAATCCACCTGTCATCCTGTAGAGTTGGGCTGGAAAAGTTTGCCCCTCGGGTCCTGGGACTTGTTTTAGGACAGCCTGGTTTCAAAACATAGTAAGAAAGTTGTAGCCAATAAAAGCCATCTTTGACCGCTTTTGTGTACCTGACAGCAGCAGCCTGAGAAACGTTATCAGTGAAGAGCCCAGACATAGACACTCATGTCTACTGCCCAGCCAGGTGCACCTGGCTAGCTGCACCTGGGCATTTCTGAGATTTGGAAAGGCTGAAATCCTAGAGTTTTTTGTTTTGTTTTGTTTCCTGAGGTCACAGCTCTGTTACTTGCAGAGCCAGGGCTAGAACTCAGAGAACTTCGTTCTGGATTCATTGCTTCTGTTCTGCATAAACACTGAATTTTGAGCTGCTTCAGTTTCTCAAGGCTGAATTTTAGTTTCTTAGGATTCATATCCATTATCATTCCAGAAAACCACAATTTCCCAGTTCCAAGAATGTCTAATGAAAATTCCCAAGAAACTTCATAACCACTGCACATCTTTTCCTAATGCTTTGGTGATTTAAATGTCAGTGAATCAGAAATGTATAAAGGAAGATTTCCTTGAAAGACAACGTGAGCTCGAAGGCTGTGAATCAGAGGTGGAAAGGGCCTCGGGGAAGCAAGGTGGTATTTCATAGGAGGCTGAGATCTCAGGCATGACTCATTACTGATTTTCCATGATGTTCGATGGCAACTGGAACAAAATTCTAAAGGGAAGGAGGAAACAAAAAAACCCTAGCATTTCAGCCTTTCCAAATCTCAGAAATGATCAGGCACAATTAGGCTGAAAGGCATCATGAAAGAAATGGCTGTTGTCACTATGTGGGTGGTTGACTTCTGAGAGGTTTTAAAAAGTGTTAAATATTTTATTCATTATATATGTACTGCTTGGTGAGTTCCAAACAGGCCCTTAAAATCTAGGGGTGGAGCTGTAGGAAGAAAAAAAGAAGGTGAGAGCCTGTTAGGAAGGCTGAAAGAAGAAGGTGATGATAATTCCAACAAATGAAATATCTGCAACTAACAGAGCTGTGACCTTAGGCCTCCATTTCTAGTTCAATAAAATGCTGGATATGAGCTGTAAGGATCCATCCAGCTCACATGCCCTGATCCCTAATTTTGCCATGAGTCTCCTGACCACCCCTTCTTCTGTCTCACGTTCCAGAAAGCAAGAACCACTAAAGTTGCTCATACTCAGAACCACTATTAAGTGTCTCTAGAGGTCTAGACAAGTCTGTGATAAGAAAAGTCAGCACTGTCCCCACCCCAGTTACCAGCTCTGAAGTTTCTCTGGTGTGGTGCTGAAACTGGGACTCAGACTTTGCAGCCAGACTCCTGGAAAGAGCTACCTGCAGTTGGTCCTTCCAGTGCCTCACTTCCCAGTCTATGACCCACTTTGTCCCTGTCACACCTCCCAACTCACTCTTGTCAGGGGCTCTCAGGGCCACCGGGGCCCTGTGTGCTGCTAAATGCAGGGTGGATGCTCATCCCACTGGCCTCTCTGCACCTGAAGCAACAGGTAACTTCCGCTCCCTTCCTGCACTTCTCTCACTGGGCTCTAGCCTCCAGCCTCTCTTGGTTCTCTCCACCCTGCTCATCGCATTGCTCCTTCTCTGCCTTCCTCCCATATTCCTACATGACTCCATGACTTGCTGCTGGAGCTCCAGACTTCTATCCTTGCTCTTCTTCGCTTCCATCTCCATCAGCCCCTCGCTGACCCCCTCCAGCACCATTACTGTCTGTTCCCAAATTCTGGGGCCAGCTCTGCCCCCAAACTTCAAGTCTGGCATTTCCAACTAACATAGAACATCACCATAGACATCAAAATTAAATCCAAACCTGGACCCATGTCTTCTCCCTCACACCATCCTCCCCAGCTAGGTTGGTTCTAAGTCTATCCTTCCAGTTGCTCCAGCCAAAACCTACTAGCCACCCTTGGCCATCTTTTCCATAGCCCACACCAAGCCCGTGGGCTTTGTCTTCATACTGCACCCAGGATCTGGCCATTTTGCCCCAGCTCCACCCCTACTACCATCTAGTTGGAATCACTCGCTTTTCTCTCCTGGATTACAGGAGCCTTGCAATTCTCCATGTTTCCATCCCATCCCTATGGTCTCTTTTCCACACAGCAGCTAGAAAGAGCCTGGAAAACTAGAAGTCAGACCCATCCACATCCATTGGACTCCCATCTCCTTCACAGTAAAAACCAAAGTCCTCCAGGGCCCTGTGTGTCAACCCAACCCTTATATCTCTGGCCCGGTTTTCTACTTCTCTCCCTCACCTGCTCCATCCCACTCACACCAATCTTCTGGAATATATGATCTTTTCACTGGATCCTCTCTCTGCTTGGGAGGTTCTCCCTGCAAATGTCTGTCTGCATCGTTCACTCCCTCATTTCCTTGAAGTCTTTGCTCAGCTTTCGCTTCTTGGTGAGGTCCTCCTTGCCCAGTTTTTTCATACATATCCTGTAACAACCCAGCCCCTAATCTTCCTTACCTTATTCTACCCTTCTCTACATCCATAAATCCAATCACCTTCTAATAGACTATATTATTTATCTCTTGCTTTTTGTTTATGGTCTGCCCCCCCATCAGAAGGTGAACCCCACAAAAGTAGAGGTTTCTGTTTTGTTCAGTGTTGTGTCCCAAGTACTGGGACTAGTGCCTGGTACAAAATAGGTGCTCAACAAACATTTATTGAATGAACTTATTTGTGGTCAGAATTCAAACTACATACCTCTCTCTTTCCAAGTGGTCTCCTGAAGCATTGCCTTCCAGGAAAAGTAGAATTCTGTGGTGTCAAGTATTTTCCTCCTATGCTATATCCTCTTTCCATCTCCCCATCTACTGCCCCGGAAGCATGTTCTCACAGTGTCCTACACATATATCACTGCTTCAGTCAGGTCTCCATGTATTCACACACACACACACACACACTCCTCCACAGGGTGCTATAGCACCAGTTCCCCACCCCTAAATGGGAGTTACAGAAAGGGCTCTGAAGTATAGGAAGTGCTTTCAAGTGTATTCGTTTACTCAAGGTCATAGAAGACAGGAATCTTTGACTTCATTTTGGTTATTAGTGAACATGAAAGGGAGATACATCTTGGTAGAGACCATGGAGAAACCAAGGCTGGGTCTTGAAAGTCTTTCGTCTGCAGACGTGGGCAGGGCTCCATTTATTACTACAGATCTGTGGGCTCCTGCCACACTGAGGAAACTGATGGGAGGGGGGAATAAGATAAAAGGAAGGATGGGCAGGAGAGGCTCCAAGCTCCACCTCAAAAGAGGAAGAGTGAAAGTCTGAGCTTTGGGGAAACACATCCACCTCACTGCCAATCCAAGGGGATGCTGGGAGCCCATAACTGTGGATGTGGCTCTTGGGTCAGCTCTGGTGCTAGCAGCTACATAATCTACCATCCTGTATGACTCCAGCACCTGAAGACTTGTCTGCTTGTTAGTTAGAGTGCTGGGGATCTGAACCTGCCTTGAATCTGCTCTAGGTTTCCATGGTGATTGCTTTAAACTTTTCATCATCCTCCCTTCAGACCTTGGGGGAGAGCTAGGCTCTCTGGTTTCCATGACAACCATTTAAACATGTATCTCTGTCTGGCTCTGTTGGAAGAGAACTGCAAGAGATCATGCAAATGAACTGGCTGCTCTCCCTCTACTTAAAAAAATAAAAATAAAGTGACACACCTGCTTAGAAGTTTCAGATCTTTGCTCATAACAAGAAGGGTGAAAGTGTCAAACTGGTGTTTGAGGAGGGTTTGCTGCATTGCTTTGATACTTCAAGTGCTCACACAGATACACAGGTTCACTCTGCCGTCTGAAGTAATTATCTGCACTCAGCGCTTATCCTCCCTTCCCCTCTGTCTAGCAGATGAAAGAGCCCTGGGTTCAAGGCTGTTTACCTTCCTGCTGCATACCAAAGGAGGAAGGGAAGGACAGGGCCAGGGGGACTAGCCAGCTACCCTACCCAAGCCAGCCCTTCACCACTGCTCAGAGAAACTGTGGACAGCAGGGTTGTTACCTCAACATACCATCAATAAACTGTCCCAGCACTTGGGCTGCAGCCCCAGATAAGGTGGAAATCACATACCCCAGTCATTCAGAAATGGAATTCATGGACTGAAGAATAGCCAGATGACTCTGAGGAAAAAAGGCTCAGAAGAAGTGGAAAGATGACAGCCCCGTTTCCCTTCCCAGACATCTTCCTGTCCTCCCCTACAGCAACATGCTCCCAAACCAGAGGTCTCCAGAGGCAGCAGTGGGACAAGCGGCCACAGACAGATATAAAATATGTTTTGAAGCTGTGCACTAACTTTTAAAATTCTGGAGGTTTCCAATGAAAATAGATATTTCCCACTTCTCCTGAAACTTAGCAGATCTGCATCAGAGTCCCACTTGAGGAGAGTCTACTGGATTGAAGAAGCACCCCCCTCTGAGATGAAGCATGCACTGGCTTTGGTCCAGCTTCCCCAAAGAATAAATTCTTCTCTTTGTTCCTGGGAAACAGTTGAACTGGTAACTTCTTACCGGTAGATATGTAACACACAGGACATCCAGACAAAACCAATCATCCCTCAAGTAATTGCTGATGTCACAAATCACCAAAGAGAATTCTTATTTGGGCGTAGGTGCAGGGGGAGGCTTCCACCTGCTTCATACAGGGCCCTTCAGCCACCGTGGACACAGCTGAGATCGGAGGTCAGAGTAAGCTAGATGGGGATTTCCTTCATGATCTTCTGGTGAGACTCATGTCTGACACCTACAGGAAGGCCTTTGATTGTTTCAGTATGTTGCTCCTATTTTCATTTTACTGTTCAGTAGATTCATAAGCAAAATAGTCATTTGACTAAATATATATGTCAAAATAATTATAGGAGAAAGTTGGCTGGTTGGTGGATGAAACTGATAGGTCAGTTCCATGAGCTCTGATTCACAGTTTGAGATATGGTTTCATTGTCTTCTTAATGACAAGTTCCTAACCCCTATAGTGTAAATTTTCCTATCCGTCCCATGGAGATAAAGTTGCTTCTCTCACTGAGTTTCTCGGTGGTTCAAACAAAATTATGTATACGGAGACCCTGGCACAGTGCTGGTGCTCAGTAGAAATTTGCTAGGTTCTTCAGAATGATTTGGCCTTCTTCCATTTCCTCCTTCCCTGGGTGACCCTTCTTGCCTTCTTCTAAAAAAGGAGGGGAAATCAATCTTGCTGTTCTTACAGACACAGTTTTAATCCTTCGCACTCCATGGTGTAACACCAGGGACCAGAAAGAGGAAGAAAAAAGTAGACCTTGCTGAAAACAAGACCAAGACCTTTAAAAATCAGCAACTTGTCAGAAAATTTACTGATCGTATTAATAAGTCATGTTTTGTTTTTCTGTAAATATTTTTAGGGTGCACTATGGGAACAACAAATGTCAAGCAAAAGATGAAAGAGATAAGGGGTGTTAGAAAAGATGTCGAGGCAAGAAGAAAACAAGCATTCCTTGGTTTGCCCAAAGGCGGGCAGGATGTGATCAAACTGTTTTTCACATCTACAAAGGAGTCAAGGCATTTTCATTCTGTAAGAGAAGGAACCTGCTGCTGACAGGTGGAATGGACCGAATCATTCGAGTCTGGAATCCTTATCTGCCAGGGTAAGTTTTCTTTTTCTCTCCAACCCAAAGTGCCACTGACCTAGTAAAGTACATGAGCGCAAGACAGGGGATGGCTAATTCCCTTTGAGGATAATTTAAGAACCCCTGTCCAAAATTGATCTCCCATACGCAAAGCCCGGGAAACTTCTGTTGGTGGCCACTAAAGACTCCTTCTTTGGGGTTACTAAGCAACTCATTGGCCCCATTTACCAATGAAGAAACTGAAGCTTAGAGCTTAAAAACTTAAATAACTTTTTGGAAATAATGCCAGAATTGAGGTTCAAATGCATTTTGGCTGATTCTAAAAGACTATGTCATTTTCGTTGGTAAGTGTTGAAGACAGAAGAAGAGTGGAACATGGGGAGTAGTCTTCTTGTGCACTGGTAAGTGAGGATTTGTAGACAAGAACAAGTCATCTAGGGGGTGCCAAGCTTCCTCATTGAACCTGTATACCAGGCATCAGTGGAGGAATGTCAAGGTGACCCATGTCCCTCAGCAGGGCAGGCAGCTGCAGAGACAGTGCCATGAGCAGGGGGGCACATGGGACCTGATCCTACCCCTGTCATTTTCTAGCCCAGTGATCCTGCAGGAGGGCTGCAGTCAGTGTCCCCCTCGATAATGGTGATCACAGGAGTACCTACCCTTCCTGTAGTAATAAAGATCATAAATGGGGTCACCCATGTATAGTGTTTAGCACAATGTCAGATGCCTAAAGAGAAAGAAAGAAAAAATTATTTTCTAACCACTTCTATTACCTTAGACTCCCATTTTTCTGGTGACGGAGAAGAATTGATTTACCTTCCAGTGACTTGGTTATAAAATGACATTGTGTTCTCCCCTTCAACCTCAGCCCTGCCTCCCTTCTCCGGGCCCTGCCTCCCCACCCTCTCACTACACACCCAGCCCTGTGACCCTGAGGGCATTGTGATCCCTCAGAGCTCCTTAAAATAAACTCATATTAAAAATACCTTCCCCCTAGATCTGAATACTGTTAACTGTGGCCTGCATAAAGCAACAACCTGACATAGAATCTAGTCCAGCACCATCCTGTACTCTTCCTCATTTATTCCTTTTATAGTGATATTGTCAGCAGTTGGAGAAACAAAGCCCAGAGCTTCATCTCACACTGAGTTATGTTGCTATAACTGGGTATTATTTGCTTCAGTCCTTTTATCACACAAGATATATACTTGTGTGATTTCAGAAGGAGACATACCCTCCTCCAGGCTGAATAGAACTGCCAGATCCGGGCCAAGTTTAGTCTTGCATTTTTATTTAGAAATAGCACATAGGAACTGCTTGGTGTTCATCTGTTCTTTTTTCCATTCTAGAAAACCAACAGGTATGCTGAAAAGCCACATGGCTCCAGTGGTCTACATCCATGTATCCGCTGAGGATAGCAAAATATTTTCCATGTCTACCGACAACACTATTAAGGTTTTTGCCCCTTTACCTTTCTGATGCATTGTCCAACAGAGTTACAGATAGAGAATGTGTATGTTTCAAGTTTTCTTTCCCCTCTGTGAAGCTCTGGAAGCCTCTGCATCAGCAGATAGTCAAATGGCAGTTACAGTTGTGGGTTTGCTTTGGAAAGAGTAGATATGTGGGCAATTGAGGGGTAGTCTCTTAGAGAATTTTCTATACCTGGTATTGTTGGTATGAGTAAACCTTAAAGCATCTCAGTCTCTGTTTGCATGCTGTCCTCATTCCTCTGGGAGAATGTGTGTTGGAGGATGGAGAATGGGGACATTGTGGAGGCAGCAGTCCCTCATTATTAGTGGTTATCTTATTTTGCAATACACATAGGGCAAGTGGGCCCTTTCTGAAATGTTGTCTGTACTTCTTAGAATTTAAATCCTTTTGGCCCTGGTAGGAGTAGCGGTATCATCACCTTCATTTTGTTTGCCTTCACACTTCTCTTTATATGTACAGTTCTATCCACCTCTAAAACTCAGCTGCCCTGTGACCTTTGTATTGCACTATTTTTATACCCTCCAAAAATTTCATCGATATGCTTTAGCCATCATTTCATATGCATTTCATATGAATATGAAAAAGTTTTCATGACTTCATCAATATTTCTTTTTCGACTGTCATGGGGTCAGAGGGTGGGATTTTAGATCAGTCTGAATCAAAGGAATTGGAGCATGAGGCAGGTCGGTATCACAGCTTTCCATAGGTACATAAATCAGCTCACTGACCACACACATAATAAATGATTTATAGATGCTATGGGCTGAATCACGTCCCTTTAAAATCTATATGTTGAAGTCTTAACCACCGGTACCTCAGAATGTGATTGTATCTGGAGACACTGCCTGTAAAGAAGTAATTAAGGTTAAACGAGGTTGTATTGGTGGGTCCTAATCCAATATGATTGGTATCTTTATAAGAAGAAATCAGTACAATTAGATGGAGGGACAACTGTGTGAAGGCATGTCAGGAAGGTGGTCATTTGCAAGCCAAGGAGAAAGGGCTCAGAGGAAAGCAAACCTGCCTATACCTCAATCTAGGACTTCAATCCCTTACTTGACACCATACTCAAAACAAGCCATAGACCTAAATATAAAAAGAGCTACTATTTCAAAACTCTTAGGGGAAAACACAGGAGTAAATCTTCATGACCTCAGACTAGGGAATTATTTCTTAGATATGACATCAAAAACAAAAGAGAAAAAAGGAGAAAATGAGTGAGTTTCATGTCATCAAAATTAAAACCTTGTGCCTCAGAAGACACCAATAAGAAGGTGGTTAGACCACCTACAGAATGGGAGAAAATGTTGTCAATCACACATCTGATAAGGGACTTGAATCTAGAATACAAAAAAAAAATCTGTACGCTCAACAATAAAACCACAAATAGCCTGGGCAAAGGACTTAAATAGAAATTTCCTCAAAGAAAATATTCAAATGGCCAGTAAATCCCGGACAAGATGCTCCACATCATTAGTCATTTTGGAAATGCAAAACAAAACCACTATGAGTTACCACTTTATACCCATTAGGATGGCTAAAATCAGAAGATAGAAAATAACAAGCATTGGCTAAGATGTAGGGAAATTGAAGCCCTCCATGCATTGCTAGTGGGAATTTAAAATGGTGCAGCCACTTTGGAAAACATTGTGGTGGTTCTTCAAATGTTAATCATGGAGTTACCACATGACCCACCAATTCTACTCCTAGATTTAAACTTAAAAGAACTGGAAACTTATGTTCACATAAACACATATGAATATTCATAGCAGTATTATTCCTTATAGACTAAAAGTAGAAATAAGCCAAATGTCCGTGAACAAATGAATGAGTAAACAAAATGTGGTATATCCATACAATGAAATATCATATAGTAATAAAAAGAAATGAAGTGCTAATGCATGTCACCACATGCATGACCCTTGAAAAGCTTATGTTACATGAAAGCCAGTCACAAAAGGCCACGTTTTGGATGATGCTATTTATATGTAATGTCCAGAATAGGCAAATCCTCAGAGACAGAAAGTAGTTTAGTAGTTACTGAGGGGGTGCAGTGAGGTGGGATAGGGATTGGCCACTAATGGCCATGGGGGGTTCTTCCTGAAATAATGAAGATGTTTTAAAATTAGACAGTAGTGATGGTTGCACAGCTCTGTGAATATGCTAAAACCCACTGAGTTTGTACACTTGAAAAATGTGAATTTTGTGGGATGTGAATTATATCTCAATAAAACTGTTATTTTGTAAAGGAGAGGGAGGGGAGAGAGGGAGGAGTCAAGGGGAATGCCAAGGCTTTGGGCTGGAGCCCACTGAGACAGGGCAGATGGCGGAGTAAAGGAGCATAAGATCAGGAACTCTGTCGTACATGTGTTGGATAGACTCATCCTGAGTTGAGGGGAGATGTCAAAGCTAGAGATATAAATTTGGAAGTTATTAGCATTTAGATGGAATTTTAAGCCATGGAGGGGATGAGATGGAAAAGAGAGCAAGAATGAGCAATGGGGAGAAAAGCCTCAAAGACTGAGCACAGGGGCGCTGTGATGGGCTTTGCTCTCAGGGTACATGGACATGGCTCCTATATTGTGAGCTCATAGTCCATCTCATGGCAATGATGAGGGCATTTTACACAAAATTAGGTGTTGAGATCACAGTTGGTGATGCAACCAGGACCCAAACTCAGTTCAGTCCTTCAAGCAAATTTGATTAAAATGGGAAGATTCATGGACCTCAGTATTTGATTTATTTTGAAAATCAAATCCATCCTAAGGTATCCTCCAAAGCCACAAAGTTGGAGACTTCATATTTTTAATGAGCTTTTTTTTTCTCAAAACTTGGCACCATCAGATAATCATAATTCTGTATGTGAGGACACGTCTCCTATCCTATTTTCTTTTCCTAGTGCTTCTCCATTTTCTTCCAATCTAAAATCATGATTACAAGATTAGCATCTTGCCTGTGATGATTCAGGCATATTGAATCACTTCCCAAAATGTGTTTAAAATATATTGAAATCCTATCTTGGAAATATGGTGTGTAATTTATTTCAGAATACATTATTCCTATCAAATAAAAAGTAATCAACCAGGAACCAAACAGCTAAATTTCTAGCATGCCTGATCAGATAGTCTTCGTTCTTCAAATTGATTTTTCAGCCCAAATATTTCACTTCTCTAAATCATGGGGACATATGAAACGTTTTGGGAGTCTGCTGGTTTCTGGCATTACCCTAAAGGAAAGTAAAATGACAGGTTCAGTTTTTTGTTTTCACTTGTTATTTTCTGTGAATTTAATATTACATACCACAAAGAGGGCTGTTTTGTGTCAACAGGAATTAGCATGGAAAAAAAGTTATTTCTTGAAGGAAGATAGCATGGTGTATTAGTTAAGATAAGGCTTGCCACTGTAACAAATAAACCCCATATTTTCCATAGGTTGAGATAATAGAAATTTATTTCTGTTTGCTGTCACACCCAAGGCCAGTGCTCCTGGTGAGGGGCATTTTTTCTTCCATTCAACCAGGCTGTCTTCATGCAGGGTCCCAAGGTTCTCAGAGTCTTCTTCATCCCAGGACAGTGGGAGTGAGAGAAGATAAGGCATATCTGCCTCTTAAAAATTCCAACCATAAATGACCCATCACTTTCTCTCACATTTCACCAATGAGTTCATAACTCTGGGTGAAAGGGAAACCAGGAAGTGCCTTCGTTTGGTGGCCACTCCCCAGCAACACCTTTCCACTGTAGACAGAGAGTGTGCATTGAGGGGCTGGGGCACAGCATGGAGAGATATTGGAGAATTACAGACTTGAATTTGAACTCTGAAACTATCAGAAATTAGGTGATCTTGGGTGAAGTATTCAATCCCTCTGAACTCAGTGACTTAAATCTCTTGGACACTGGTCGCTTTTCTGTAAAATGGAAGAAAGACCCACCTTGTAGGTTAGTTGTGCTCATAAACGATAATGTATGAATTGTGCTCATCATGAAGTAGTTTTACCAGGTAAGACTCTTGGGCCAAAGAGACAAAAATCTAACGCAAGTAGTTTAAGCTAAAAAGGGATAATTTATTGATTATTGAAACTGGATCATCAGATAGATGGCCTCATGGACAGCTGGGTTCAAAGATGGCACTGTTATTCCCATGCTTTCTGCCTGCACTTCCCTGGCACACTGTTATCCACTCCTAGTGCAGAAAGGCTATCTCTTTCCAAATGGCCGGGTCCATTGATGCCCAGTCTGAACTCACAACTCAACTTCAGATTCACTGTCAGCTTCAGCCAAAAAAATTTGAAGGAAGACACAGATGGACCAGGTTTGGGTCTCCTGCCTACTGCTTGCAATCAGAGAGACAATTCTCACAGAAGACAAGAGGATGCTGGATAGGCCATAGATAAGTCAGTGATGCTAATTCGTTGTAGCTTCTTTTACTTTGGGGATTTAATGCCAACTTGCCGAGTCAACCTCAACAACAGTAAGGAGAGTATATTCCCACCTTTCCTCTTCACAGACCTCGTAGGGGTCCCTCTATAGCATCCCGTCTAAAATCACTCTCCCAGGCTTCAGAATTACCTCATCCTGCCCCTCATTAAAACTTCCTCTCTTTCAGTAACATTATCTCATGAAATAAGAAGAAATTACCAGACGAATGGATAACTGCTGACAAAAACTGGGTGTGTTACCTTTCTATCCAGGAAAATTAGCATTTTTCAAGCAATCAATACTCCAGAAAGGAGTGAGAGATGCCTCTTGAACAAGTAGTTGTTGGGGTCACCTCTCCATAGGACTATTTTAGTTTGATCACTACTATCACCCGCGTGCTGACCTCCCAGAGTTTATTGCTTCCTGCCTTTTATGCCATGACCTAAAATAACAGATAAAAAAGCAGGCTAGAACTTTCAAAAGAACTTTGCTACCTGCTGGGGAGAACTAAGGAAAATAAACAGTATAAATAGAACAAATAAGAGTCTTGCTTAGGGGGCGGAATGCTTCAAATTTCCTGTTAGCTGATTTGCTTCCTGGAGTCGCAAAGGAGGGGAAAGAAATGCCATCCAAGGACATCTTACCCAGTTTAGTCCTCGGATTTTCCAGTGCAGTCTTGGAGGGTGATAAGGCTGAGAAGGACTCCTACTCTAGCTGCTCACTGGCTCTGTCCCAACAGGAGAGTCATTGAACCTCCCTGGAACTCAGTGGATTATACCTACCTCCCAAACTCAGTTTAAGATCATATTCATTTGTAAAAAAAAAAATACCCCAAACTGAGTGACTTTAAGAACCCAAATTTGTGTCTCACAGTGTTAGAGGCTGGAAGGCTAAAGTCAAGGTGTCAGCAGGGTTTGGTTCTTCCAACCTGAGGAATACTCTCTTCTAGGCCTCACTTCTAGCTTCCGAAGGTTTGCTGGCAGCCTTTGGCACTTTTGGCTTATAGAAACATCACCCTAATACCTGCCATCATCTTCACAAAGTCTCCTCCCTCTTTCTGTGTCTGTCTCCAAATTTCCCTTCCTACAAAGATGTCAGTCATATTGTCTGAGGCGCTTACCCTACTCCATCACGATCTCTTCTTAACTAATTTTACTAGTGACAGCCCTATTTCCAAATAAGGGCACATTCTGAGATACAGGGGGGTTATTTGACATACAGATTTGGGGGGGGGTTACATAATCCAACCCATAACAGAATGAATAAAACAATGCACGGAAAGCATTTAGCACAATGCTGGCGCACGTCAGCTCACTACGCAACAGTTGCCCTCGTGATGATTCTGTCTTCCCAGTTTTACACTTGGGCCCATCTGCTCTTCCCCAGGGATGTGGCCATCATCCCCTGCAGCTTTCATCAGATTACAGTACCTTAAAATACTACAAGAGCCATGGCATGACTTACATAATAATCATAGTAAATGATTAACAATAATATCATTCTAATCATGTGACATCTTACCATGGCCTAGCAGCTAAAACACTATTTTTCACTAATATTTAAAAATCTCTAAGATTTTAATCCCTATAAGTTAGGCATCATTATCAGTCTCCCTATTTTACAGATGAAGAAACAGAGGGAAAGGGAATGTGGTAATTTGGCCGAGGCCACATACCCATTAGTCAGTAGAGCTGGGATTTCAAACCAGCCATGGGGGTTCTGAACCTCCATGTCCTTGACCAAAAGCCATGCTGAGGTTTGTTCCCCCAGTGTCTGATTTTGAGGAACTGATTGAAAAATGGGAACACAGCTGGGGGATATAGGTAGCTCTGTGCACACATCGGACCCATGGTATCAGACCTACACTGTGAAAGATGGTCCATGAGAAGAGAAGCCACTGGCCACTCCTTGTGGTGGGGAGTGAGGCACAGGCATCTCTGCTCCTTGCGTGGTTTTAGCACAGCAGAGGGGCTCAGGAACAAGGGCCCCACTTTTGGCCAGGTGGGAGGTTGGGCAGTTTTTAAACATTGGTCAGTCCCAACCAGACCCCCGCAACAGGTAATGCCTTTGCAAACACGGCAGAGTAACCTGTCCCAGACCTCCAGCTACTTTGTCTTCATTTCTTCCTCAGATCTGGGACCTAGAGACTGATAGCTGCTTGTTGACCACCTCCTCCAAAGCCAGCAGTATTAAGGGGGATTTCGCAGCCTGCCTCTATCTCCCCCTCTCCAGGGCCCTGTGTGTGGCCACAGACACAGTTGTACTCCTACACCTGAGACTGAGGTATGAGGTTATACTCTTGGCCTCAAGCTGTAGCTCTCTGGAGTGTACTGAAGGGCTCAGGGTAGCTGCTTGCAACCTTCTACATAATGATCCACAGTTAAGATCTCTGGGTAAGCTCCTGAGCTATATGCCCCCAAGTCTTTAATCTTACATGTTGTATTTGGTGAGCTCCCTTTAACATTTCCCATTAATTACTCCAACACCACCTCCCTGTTATCCGAAACATGGAATCTACCTCTTGAGTCCTTATTGCCCCACTCGCCCTATGCCTATAGTGAGTTGTCCAAGAAGATCTGGGGGCTTTTAATTCAGTCCAAAAGCATCAGCCCTACTTGCTGCAGCAGTGGCCCACATCTGAGACCTTGTCTCTACAGCAGGGTAGCCATTCAGGGACAGTACAAGCCCAGGTGATGGAACAGGCCCTTAAGGAGGGTCCCTTGTGGGCTTTTCCTGCCCAGGGCCTCAGGGTCAGGGAGCTTGAATGTCTTGAAGACATCTCGGATTCCTCTGCAAATGAGTCCACCTTAGTTTCCTTGGCACACCTTTGCCAGGCCACATTTCATTTCCTCCTTGGCAAGGAAAGTGGTGCCTGGTTGTCTTTTCCACACTCAGGGAGGTCATTGAGACATTTGTCCCCTTTGCATGAATGTCCATTTCAGTGCCTGCCCCTGTTCTGCCGAGACTGCCCAATCTTACAGAAGAGTTTAAATCCTGCCTCCCAGATACCCACAAGTCACCTAGTGTGATGCTGCAGTTTTACCAATGAGTGCACAGAGGCCTGGAGAAGGAATGAGTCGCCCAAGGTCAGGCAGGGTGTCAGGAGCAGAGCTGCGACTAGAACTCCTCTCTCAGGAGTTCCCGCTGCCTTCTTCCTGTGTCGTGCTCCTCCCACCAGATGGGCAAAAGTCTGACTGAGACTTCAGAGGGGAAGGAGAGCTTAATTTGTTTTGTTTTGTTTTTAAATTAGACAATGGGAAGCACATTGTCTAGTCTTCCTTCTGCAGAGCCTGCAGAGCTCCTAAAAGACACCTGTGAGTGGTGGAGAAAATGGGCTCTGCCTCCCTGGGTCTAGAGGCCTTGGGGTAAGTTGCAACTCCTGCCCTTGGCCTTGGCAGAGCTCGCAGGGCACACTGCCTGCGCCTCGAGAACTTTCAGGCCCTCTGCATACATACTAAAACTAGAAACATCATTATAGCCTTCTCTTGGTTCAAACATGGTCCATGATTACTTTCCCCACTTGCTGCCCTGAGATAAACACATTCCTCATTCCCCGCCTGCCTGCAGCTTTTCCCTTCACTCTTCAGCAGGAGGATGACTCCCAAATCCATAGTCTTTGAGGACTAAGGAAAGGAAGCAGGGAAGGTTCAGGCTGAATAGTGTGGTTTGCAGGGTTCACATCCCCTGTTTATGATAATGGCAACGTATATGATATGATTTTGGCATCTCTGCACAAGATGCCAAAGCAACCTGCTGAAAAATGGGACTACAGTCCGTTGAATCGCTGTTTGTTCTACATGGTATCAATGTGTAGAAAAACAGCCTGTTGGACTGAGTTTTTTTTTCCTTTAAGCAAAGTGACTGAAATTCTACCTCCTAGCAAGAACAGCCGGGATCTCTAGTGCCAACACTTAAGTGTCAGATAATGTCTGCAAGTCCCTGCTCTGTCGCAGGGAACTTTGTGATCTTGATCAAGTTACCTGGTCCTTCTTAACTTTCTGGTAGCTTCCTCATCTGTGAAGTGGGGAGACTCAGACTCAGCGCTTTCTCTTCATATTGGGGTAGGGGTATATAGGTAATGCCAGGAGGCTCTGGCTTGAGGCCCAGCACTTTCTCTCTGCGATTGTGCCCCCCAAGCCCTTCCTTCATCCTTCCCCACAGGCCAGACTTCACTTACAGCAGTCCAGAGACCATTCTTGGGAAAGTGCTAGTCGTCCTTCTGCCAAGTGCTATTCTTCCTTGAAAGGGATTTCACCCACTGGGAATAGTCTGGCACTAAGTCGGAGGTTTTAGGTCCACTGAAATTTTTTGAGAAGCCCAGCCTTAGGGCTGAGTACTGGGAGGGACAAGAAAGAGAGAGAAGGCAAAGTAGTAGTACTGGGAACCAACATTCACTTACGAAGTATGCCCCGCATGCCAGGCTTCTCCAGACATTTGACATCCTTTTCCTCGCTTATTCCTCACAAAATTTCTGTAAAGGATTCCATGTTCCAGATGAGGAAATCAGCGCAAAGCATTCAATTGCTTAACTCCTAGAGCTATCCGTTCTGTGTGCTCTCTCCCAGAGGTGGCACACTGGGAAAGGTCCTTGGTCCCTGGGTGCCCATGGGAGGTGCACTGTGGTGCCTCGTCCCTGCTGTGAGTGAGAGGTGCTGCCCATCAGGATGGGATGATACAATTTGTGTTTATTTGAGGGAAGATGTAAATTCATAGGGAAGAAAATCCACTGTGCAGTCATATGAAATCACACTCCTCTTGCCCTAAACAAGAGACATGTGCTATCAGTTTTCATGGTCATCACCCCCACTTAAGCAATAAGAATTTTCAGCAGTTAAACAACTTGTCCAAGGTCACAAACCCATTTCTATCCTCTTAATCTTTCTTTCTTAAAAGATTTTTATTTGTTTATTTATGTATTTATGTATTTATTTATTTATTTATTTAAGAGAGAGAAGGAGAGAGAGAGAGAACAGGAGGAGGGCAGAGGGGGAGGGAGAGGGAGAAAGAGAATCTTTTTTTTTTTTTTTTTTTTGAGAAAGAGAATCTTGAGCAGACTCCACACTAAGTGCAAAGCCCAACAGGGTGTGAGGTGGGGAGCCTCAATCTTATGACCCTGAGATCACAACCCTGAAATCATGACCCGAGCCAAAACCAAGAGTGATAAGCTTAACAACTGAGCCACCCAGGTGTCCCTATCCTCTTAACTTTTCTTTATAAAGCAATAGATGCCTCATCAATGGTATCCATGTCATACATTGGGTTCAGGTTTTCATTCTTCCTGTTTTTCATGAGGAAGATCTCCCCCGGAGCCTTACCTAGCGGTCTGCCACCAAGAACCCATGCTGTGCTGCCGCTACAATCCAGCCTTCAGGCAGGTGGTCAGCTGTTCTGAAGCATCTGTTAAGTATCAACTCCTGCTTTCTTTAGCAATGATGTATTTGTGAGTGTGGGCCCAGCCCCATCGTCCTCACCTTGGAGCAGAGTAGAATGTTCTGGGGACATGCTGTCCCTGGAAGTTAGGAGTTCTACTAGAGTTCTTCAACTCTACTAACTATTAAGTACTGTTTGGACATTCTTCTTTGTTAGCTGGGGGGAAGACCTCACAGTTTCTCTAGTGGTTTGTCGTGTGAGCTATTTGTAAGGGCCATCTGGTACTAAGAAATGGTATTATTTCATGGTGGTGTAGGATGATTAATACAACCGTATTACCTACTTTATAACACTAATCCAGAGCTGAGGCTATGGAGTATTCCACATCCATTTCCCCTTTCACTGGACTTCACGAGGATCACACTCATCCTCTCCTAGATGAATGGCAAATCCTGGTCCACAGGAGGGTACAGAACTAGTGCTTCTTGAATAAGGAGTGAGAGCAGGGAAGCACACACATCCCATAACTCATGTACTCCTGTCCTTGAGCTAATCGGGGGCCACATCCAAAGTACATTCAAGATATTTAAGTGTTCTGAAGACTCCTAAATATCAGTTCAGTCACTTTCTGAATCACTGGTCTAAGCTCTGACATTACAAGCCAGTGTCCCAGGCCATCTGGCCACGTCCTCTTTCCTTCTTTCTGCAATTGCCTGGCACACCCTGTCTTTAGGATTTATAGCCCCGGGGGCACCACAGTCTGGACATGTCCTCTTCATGTTCACACCCACTTTGGCTTCATTCCCACAGAGACTCAATTTTCTTTGCTCATGTTCTTGCCAGTCCCTGCTCCAGAGATTAGTCATCACCATGGTTAACTATTGAAAGAAATAGATTATTTGGTCTGTTGATCAGAAATTTTTATGATGACTCAGTCTCAATTCATTTCAAAGAAGGTGGATTCCTGCATAGTTTGGGCTCATACTTATAAAGAATCATTTATCCTCCAGATTTATCAGAATCACCTGTTACTCCAAGGGCTCCAACATTCTAGTCTCAGTATCGTGCACTTGTCTGTCCCTGGTGCTGTCCAATATTTTCCTGTCTCCACTCTGGAATTTCCTGCTTCCTCCTCTTCTCTTACACACATCTCATCAATCTTTCAAGGTCCAACTCAAGTCCTATCTCCTCCACAAAAATTGTCTTCAGTGCTCTCGACTCATACAGGCACCTTCCTCTTTGTGACCACCCAAGCTGATGCCTTCTATATAGTGCTGGATTCAGTTCTCACTTGCCTGCTCTGTTTCACACTCATGAGCCTTGTGCCTCTAATTATTCAGCAGGCACTTAGGGCAACAAGCAACTCATTTGTGTTTCCCTCTTGTTCCTTCTCTTTTTTTTCCCTCTTCTTCCTTCTTAATCTGTCAAAACCCTTCTTATTCTTCAATGCACAACTCTGGATATGGGCTTCTCTGAGAAAAATTTCTAGATCCCTCCCACATCCAGGCAGAATGAAGGGCTCCATTAGCATCTGGGCTCCTAATTCTATGCTAGCAGTCTCCTTCAATAGCTTACTTTTGATATGCATTATCTTCCCTGCCTGTGGGTGGCAAGGAGATGTTGAATTGAGATATAAATACTCTCTTAGCTCTTACTGTATCCCTGTAATAAACTCTCAGATACTTACACTGGTAATAAACTCTCAGATACTTACTGAATTGAGTTATTGATTTAAGTATTTGCTCATCTTGCAGATCTATGTGTAATCTTTATAACATATGTCCACTGTCACGATCCACAGCATCTAAGCCACATTGCAGTCTATATTTGTGGAGGAGAGAATATAACCCAAGATCTTCATGATGTCTGAAGTTATGAATACCACTACACCACATTTTATTCATTGAGTTGCAAAGCACAGTGCTAGGGACCACCAACTTACAATGCCTCTGAAAATGCTTGAAAATGAAATGATTTAAACTAATAAATATTCAATTAAATGTTTACAATGTGTTACATAGGAACTGCAACTTACACACATCCACATATACAGTTTTATTTAATATGGAACTTTACTTTTTAAGAATAATGAATAATTTTTCATCAACAGAGCTTACAACTATAAATATTTTGTAAATATTTTAAAATTAAGAGCAAAATTATATTTAATTTGGGATGTGGTTGCATTTTAATATGTTTAATTGAATGGGAACTTCAGAAGGAAGAAGTGCTTGGGGCAAGGAAGTTCTTAGAGGAGCCCTGCTAGGACATGAAATCCCCTCTACAAAATGCACCTAAAAAGTATAAATAGCACCTCTAGACTTTTCTTGATTCTATAAATAGAACCCTGAAGTCATTTTTAAAGATATTGTAATTGCTCACTTCAATCTTTTCACTCTCATTACCTGCAGTAGCAGGTGATATTCTTGGGGGGTTTTCTTTTTAAGGAAACAAACGGGTGACTGTTTAATTACTTAAAGGGAAGACAGGTCCATAAGGAAGATGTCTCTTTTGGGTGTCAATCCAGAGCTATTTTCCTCACTCAGGGCCCCTCTGTTCATTCAATGTCAACAGACACTTCATTCAGTTCTGGATCTCAACCACATTACACATCACTGCATGTTGTGAAACTGTGGGATGTTTGCAAATGTCAGAATAACTAAAGTAAAACTGAGTAATGCTGAGGGTCTATCACAATACTAAGGAGAACAAATTGGATGCACCTGAGCTGTAGACATCCCCAGAAATCCTGACATCATAACAGGACAGAGGGGAAGGAAGCAAAGTGTGCACTACTAAAATCTTGTCTCAGGTATATGAAATCAACAACAGTGAGAGGATGCCTTCTGGTTTCTGGATTGGAGGCCTGGAAGTTTCTCTATGTCAATGGAACAGCCTCTTTTACAAAGTGGAAGACTAAAAGGAACATTCAGTAGTTCTGAGAAAGGGTGGTATCCTCAAGCATTTCTGCTCCCACACTGTCACTGCCTTTGAGTGCAGGCTTTCTGGAGGAAAGCTCTCCTTATGGTGGGCACTTACCTATCCTAAGTCATGAAAGATACCACTCAACTCCCTCTATAGATGATTCTAATTCAAAAGTTGCTCAAGGGATGGAGCTGAAAGAAAGTAATTTCAAGACTGGAACTAGGTGGACTGAGCAAAATCTTAAAGCTGGAGGGTTGAGAAGATATGTCTGTCCCTCCAAATAGGCGGTCTTTCTCACTCAGCTGTGCCTTGGTCCTGAATACATTTTGCTGCTCAAAATTCAATCAGCACCTATTCCTCTCAGCCTAGGTAGTCAGGAGATTTTTATCCAAAGATTTCTAAATTTCTACTCTTCTCACTGAGTGTTATGGGCTAAATTGTGTTCTCCCAAAATTCATATGTTGAAGTCCTAACCTCAGCAGCTAAGAATGTGACTGTATTTGAAGATAGAGCCTCAAAGAGGGGATTAAATTAACATGAGGATGTTAGAATGGGCCCTGATCCAATCTAACTGGTGTCTCTATAACAAGAGGAGATTTGGACACATAGAGACCCTGGGTGTGCAAACACAGGGGAAAGACCATGTGAGGACACAACAAGAAGGTGTCCATTTGTGAGCCAAGAAAAGGTATCTCAAAAGAAAACAGACCTACCAACGACTTGATCTTGGGCTTCTAGCCTCCAGAACTCTGAGAAACTAAATGTTCATTGTTTGAGTCCCCCATTCTGTGGTATTTTGTTATGCAGCCCCAGCAAATGAATATGCTGAGGTAAGCCAACTTGTATTGGAAGTACAGATAGATACTTTCAGGGTAAATTTTCATCTTTCGTATCTATACTTTTTTATCTAGACTTCTAAATGCAAATTCTCTTTAATTTGATAGTCAATATCTCTAGGTCACGTTTTTTCAACTTCTGGATACAGGTGGTAAAAGTGTGGGACTTTGAAACAGGAAAGCTGTTGTCCTGATTTACTGGGGCTCATGGCAATGCTGATCCCATGTCTGACCTTTGACTCCAGTGGAAGAAGGTATGTGTCTTCTCCAGTATCTTCAACCATTAGGTAATGAGATCCCTGACATGATTTCCTGACGAGAGACTGTTTCCTAGGCTAATCACTGGGGCCAGAGACGGCTGTCTGAAGATATGGAGCTACAACAATGGACGTTGTCTGCACACACTGAAACATGGCAAGTAGCTTCCTACCAAAGATCTCCATAACATAATGTTGCGAGGGTGGAAATTTGTTGTCAATACAGAAGAAACAAATGAGATGGAATCTAGAATGCATGTAACAATCCTACACCCTGTTTCTTTGGCACTTTATTTTACCAATGACTCTAAATTTCTACTGAAGAGAGACATATTTTACATAAATGTGTGTGCTCTGAGCTAAGCCTCCTGCACTTGGTCTTTTATTACCTGGTATATTTATGTAAGTTCTTAAATGAGCTTAACTTTTCTAAACATTTTAAACATCACATAAGTCAAAATCTAGATGAACAAACTAAAAGCCAGTCTGTTTTGTGCACTACTGTGATTTTTTTCCAAGGCCTTTTATTCCACTTGTTCATGTGCTGTGCCTGATCCTCGTAGAATTTCCACAAGTCTGACCTGTCATCCTTCTATAAGGAAGATAAGAGAAAGACATTTTTTAACTATCAGAGAACATAAATGAAGTCAAAGTAAAAAAGACATAAATTACTCAGGGTAATGAGTTTGTGATTCCTAGTTCTGCTTTCGACCTATATACATTCACTTGTTCACTCACTCACTCAACAAGTGCCAGGCACCGTGTAGGGTCCTGTCAGCAGAAGGCGAGCCTCTTTCCAGAGCTGAGCAAGGGCAAGTCCAGCTTTTTAGGGCAATGAATGTGACAGGAAGCCAGCAGTACTTTGATACCTTGAATAACCCCTAGATGTGGTCTGAAAAGTAGAAAGTAAGTACTGAAGTTTTCTTCAATCATCAGTTTAGATGAGTCAATCTGTTCAAGCTGATTCAAGAACCAGTAAGAAAATTGTCTAATATACTTTGATAATGTTATCTTTCTAGATGAAAAGCAAAGTGAAGTTTGTGATTGTACCTACTTGGAGGTGAACCAAAATAAGTGAGTTATATTCAGTTTGGATATAGAAAGGCATCTTTTTGATACAAAATCTATCCTGGAGGAGGACACCAAGACAGTGAAGGGAATTTTCCAGGAGGAAACATGTCAAAGAATTCCCAAGGACCCCAGTTGCTCCCTGATGGTAATTTAGGCAACTAGCCTCTTCTAGAATATTGCAAGCAATTCTCTGCATGTTTTGATTACTGTTTAGAGGTAGGGATAGGGAGTACTGTATCTCTCCACCAAATGCTTTCTCAAGGAATAAATCACAGACTAGATTACTAGAGTAGTTAAATTCAGTACCCACAGGTTAAAGAATAAAAATCCCATAAATTCTCTCCTGAACACTAAAAGAGTAAAAACAATTCCTGATCAGTTTCTGTTTGTGTCTTGCCTCCATGGTTCAACCATGCTTTTAGGATCGAGAAACCCTCAGGAGGGTAGCTGCTCGTGGAGTAGCATCTGTAGACCTTGGAATTATAGATCCCTTAAGCACCAGTGAAAATACTGGCCCTAATTTATCAAATCACATTTTATCTTATTCTTCACAAAAGAAATGTTCCTGCTCTATTTATCATATTGACATGGCAAAATTAAACCACAGTGTTGATTGCATGCAAAAATTAAAGAAATGATAAGCTTAAGTAATGAAATGTACTATTTTGTTACTGTTCTAGGTGTATCATAGCTGTTGGATGGGACAAAAGAATAAATGTGTACTTTGTAAGTGAAATGTACAAAATCAGGTCTTCAAAATTCTGCTTAAAATTGCTATCCTCCCCACACCCACACCCGTTTGTTCTTTTCCCACTAAAAACAAAGTTCGTAGTAATTCTTTATGTTCCTGCTCTCTAGTACAATTCAAATCATGATAGAGACAGAAGAATTTCCTCCCTTCCTCCCTCCCTCTCCCTCCCTTTAAAAAACCTTTTTTACTTTGTTGTTTGTCTCTTCCCTCTAGTTCTCTTTTATAGGAAGAAGTATAATGACACTGCACCTAATTCTGGGAGGGGGGTGGTTCCCACACAAACAAGTAACTCTCTAATACCTACAATGTCCTGCAATTCAGCTCAATCCTGACACCCTCTCCCCGGGGATGGCATCTGATCCCAAGTTACAGGCTCACTCCCACGAGCCTGCCCTTCTTACCACCAGCCCCTGCCCCTGACTTTAGACACCTCCCATGCTCTCATCACTTAAGAAGTTCCAAGAGTTTTAGGAGTTGTCTGCCAGAAATGGAGACCAATATTAAGTACTTATTCTTATCACAAATTGCAATATCACAAAATATTAGCTAGAAGAGCTGTCAGAGGTACTGAGGGCATTCCTGGGAATCCAAAGCAGATGGTACTTGGAAAGCATAGCTCTCCACACCTTACTTTGTGTTCTTACCCCTTGTACAGGCTGGCATGCTCCCTACTCCCTAGAATGCAGGAGCTTCAGCTCTAACTCCTATGCCCTCATCCCTAAATGAGGGTTAGCCTCTCTGTCAGTTGTCCAGCCTTTTACTTTCTTCCTTCCACCTTGTCCTTTTGCCCCTGAACCTCTCTAAGTGGAAAGGGGAGATGAAATGCCATCCATAAGCATCTCTATGGGAAAAAAAATCTTGTTTTTATGGCTTAGAGATGGAGAAGGGATTCAGAGAAAGGGGAAGTTGAAAATGCTGACTGAAACTAAGTTTTAAATCTACCTGTGACATTTTATTTCCCCTGCTTGCTATGCCGGATGGTCATGGATTTCCAACAGTTTTTAAACATTGTAAGTTCTTTATTCATTTGAAGGTGTACTGTATTTCACAGCCTAAGCCTTGCATCCCCAGATGATTTGAGAGATGACTACCTGAGAAGCCCTGGCATTGAATTCATCCTATGGTATTATAGGTTCCTGAGCTAAAGGCTTTTGTTTTAACGAATGCAACCACTATGGGTCTTATTATGAAGGCAAAGCTATGCAGACCATCCAAGGAGAGTTTGTCAGTTGACATATGATTCGTTGAAATGCAATCACCCAAACGTCAGAAGTGGATTGCTTTTTATTCCCACTAGCACTAGGGGAATTTGCTTTGACATTTTGAAAATCTACATCATTGGTGGGGTGAGGGGTAGGGTTATAAAATGTGCCAACGCCTTCTCTCTGAAGTTGTGAGTGTGTTGGCAGCTCATTTCACTGCTTATACAACGTCTCCTCTTTGACTTTGCATACAGGATGCACCATGTGACTTTCATCACTTCTGGAAGCCTCAGCCACACTGGCAGGATGACCTGGTGAGCCCTGGTCTGCTGTCTTGCTCTCAACCCAAACAGTGGCACATGATGAGGATATACTTCACTCACAGCCTCACCCTGACTCTCCTGGGCCTGCTTAAGGTTATCACAAACACCTCAAAAGCCTCTGCAGTGGCAGGATTCATGACGGGTTCAGGTAGAGCCAGGAGCACTGATGTCCAAGCAGCTGCTTCCCTTCCAGGAAGAGTGATGGCCTTGTGTTCAGATTGGGGTATGGGACCTCATTGACAGGCAGTGTGGGGGGGAACCACAGGAGGAGGATCCCAGGTATATGTGGTCACAAATCACAGAAGGAGGCAGGATTTGTCAGAAGATTGTGGAAAAGAGAGAACCATTGACCTTCTCTTTTCTGTCTTCTCTTTTTCAACTATCTTATACCACCACCCTGCCAGCTACTTGAAGGCAGAAGGGACATCTTAGATGACAAAGGACACTCAGTGGGAAGTATGTGAAGGCAAGGGAGAAAAAAAATGTCTTTACAGTGCCAAGAGAAGTGAATTCTCTTCATGTGGAAACTGTACCCCAGTGAGAAAGTTGAGAGGATAGTGGCCAGGGACTCTTTAATCTCTGAAGCACTGGTCTCAAAAAACTCCATTTTGGTTTCTCATTTTCTTAAGGATCCATATCCAAATCCTCCTTTCGAGGAGAGTAGGTGATCTCAATTCCTAACTGCCTGTGTAAGCCACAGGTGGGAGCCCTGTAGGAATCAAGTCAAGGGATAACACACTCTGGGATTTACACTTGAGCTATTGGGAAGCCAAGCCCTTGATCAGAGTTGGTTTCCTTTATCCCATTGCCATCAACATTTCAGCCTCAAACAGGCATCCTTGCAAATACTATGCTTGCCAGCACAACGCAGAGGTCAGGAAACTTCTAAAAGTATCACTTCCCTAGGGAAGGTAATAAACTGACTCAAGGAGAGGCAGCATCTCTCTGGCTGACCTACACACAGACTCCTGCATGGAGTGATGCCCTGATCTTTGGGTCTGGGCCTCAAGGTTCCAGGTGAGTCTTCAAGGTTCCAGAAGAGTTTTCTGTGGGCCAGCACAAAAGGAGGAACACGTCTGCATCCTCTATCTTAGGCATCAGATGAAGGGGAGCTAGCCAGGGGTGACTGAGGATTTGAAGTCTGACCTTCTCCCTCTCCATCTCTTTCTTTAGAAACATGGGCACAGGGAAGACATCCTCTGTGTGGCTCAATACCCACCTTTTCTTCTTGCTACCTCCCGTTATGATGGGGAGATCATCATTTGGAATGTCATCCCAGGCCACATGTACTGTAAGCTGAATACTCCCAGCCCCTCCGATGGTGCAGAAGACAGAAAATGTAGGTGAGGGGTAGGCTCCATGGCTGGTCTGCACAGGCCCCATCAGGCTTGGATTTCTGGCATATCCTAAAGAGATCTCAATTCTGGACAGAGTCCCAGTTAGAAGGGATGAGCCAGGTTTCAGGTTTAATTTGTCAGGTCTGCCAAAGCTGGAAGAGGGTTTAAGAGTTCGGCTAGCTCAGTCCACACCCCCAGGCACTAGTCCATCAGAGCCTGTCTTAGACTCACCCACCACCTCTGGGAGCCTTTCCTCATCCACTGTCCCCCAAAGGATTCTCTCCCCTGTTGAGCCTGTTAGGCTTTGTTACAGTGCCAATTTTACCCCTCTGTCTTTACAAGCTCCTTTTGCCCTACTAGCAGGCCTGCTCTCCCAACTCACCTCAGATACCATCTTCTGATGTGTCACTCAGCTATCTGCCCTCAGAATTTATGCCACCCTCTCCATCAGCCCCTTCAGGTGGCCCCCAGGGTCCCAGAGTCTTCACATTGCCCATGACCCCCTGTACTCCTCCACATGAGTCAGGCTTTATTACTTGTGTGTGTGTGTGTGTGTGTGTGTGTGGGTGGTGGTGGTGTATAGTTTTGCTTTTTTACAGTTTGTTTGTTTGTTTATTGCATGCAAGGATGGTGGGGAGGAGCAGAGGGGGAGAGAGAATCCTTGAGCAGACCCCCACTGAGCATGGAGTCTGATGCAGGGCTTAATCCCAGGATCCTGAGATCAGATCTGAGCTGAAACCAAGAGTCAGATGCTAAACTGACTAAGCCACCCATGCACCCCTTATTACTTGTATATTTTATTGCAAAACTTTTCCCCACACTCCCACCCCATTCTCCCTAGTTTTTCTGCCTTGATTCCATTACTTCAAGACCCTCTCTCTCTGCTAATGTGATTGTGGGCCCATTCTTTCACATCTTCATTTAAAACATATTGGTGTGTTTTAACGATGAGTTCCTGCCATGTGCCATGCCCAGTGCTAGGTACTGGGGATGGTAACCACACCCATCTCCCTCCAAGTCATGAACCATTTGAAAAACGCACTTATCTATCAGTTTCATGGCAGGTTGTACTGGATGGAAAACCATGGGAACCCACAGCCAAAGGCTTCCTACCACTCCTTGCCTAACCTCTAGTGTCCAGGATCATCCTTCCCAGTGGCAGTCTAAAGACACCTGCCAACAGTCAGGGGATCCACTATCTCACACCCATGGAACCCAGGGGAGACACAGGGCACTGGTGATTTTACATAGAACTGGGGAATTCGGAGGAGGGGCAAGATGGCGGAAGAGCAGGGTCCCCAAATCACCTGTCCCCACCAAATTACCTAGATAACCTTCAAACCATCCTGAAAATCTACGAATTCGGCCTGAGATGTAAAGAGAGACCAGCTGGAATGCTACAGTGAGAAGAGTCCGCGCTTCTATCCAGGTAGGAAGACGGGGAAAAAGAAATAAAGGAACAAAAGGCCTCCGAGGGGGAGGGGCCCCGCGAGGAGCCGGGCTGAGGCCGGGGCGAGTGTCCCCAGGACAGGAGAGCCCCGTCCCGGAGGAGCAGGAGCTGCACCAACCTTCCCGGGCGGGCGGAAAGGGGCTCGCAGGGAGTTGGAGCAGGACCCAGGAGGGCGGGGATGCCCTCGGGCTCCCGGGGACACTAACAGACACCTGCGCCCGGGAGAGTGCGCCGAGCTCCCTAAGGGCTGCAGCGCGCACGGCGGGACCGACCGGAGCAGCTCGGAGGGGCTCGGGCGGCGGCTCCGCGGAGGGGGCTGCGGGGCGGGAGCGCGAATCCCACAGCGCAGGCCCCGGAGCACAGGGCGCCGGGACACAGCCCAGGATCCGGCCTCCCCCGGGACAGGCAGAGGCCGGGAGGGCCCAGGACAGCAAGGACGCTCCTGCCCCGAGCTGAGCAGATCAGCGGCCCCGCCCCGGAGCCTCCAGGCCCTGCAGACGGAGAACCGAGAGCCCCGAGCCCCGTAGTTCCTGCGGAGGCTAAATCCAGGCTTCCAGAGTTGCCATAGCAACTGCGGCTGTTCCTCCTGGGGCCTCACGGGGTAAACAACCCCCGCTGAGCCCTGCAGCAGGCAGGGGCAGAGCAGCTCCCCCAAGTGCTAACACCTGAAAATCAGCACAGCAGGCCCCTCCCCCAGAAGACCAGCTAGACGGACCAGTGATACTCCCCCGTGTTCCAATACAACTTGTTTTTGGCCACTCTGCACTGAGCAAAATGACTAGAAGGAAAACCTCACCTCAAAAGAAAGAATCAGAAACAGCCCTCTCTCCCACAGAGTTACAAAATCTGGATTACACTTCAATGTCAGAAAGCCAATTCAGAAGCACTATTCTACAGCTACTGGTGGCTCTAGAAAAAAGCATTAAGGACTCACGAGACTTCATGACTGCAGAATTTAGATCCAATCAGGCAGAAATTAAAAATCAATGGAATGAGATGCAATCCAAACTAGAAGTCCTAACGACGAGGGTTAACGAGGTGGAAGAACGAGTGAGTGACATAGAAGACAAGTTAATGGCAAAGAGGGAAACTGAGGAAAAAAGAGACAATCAATTAAGGGACCATGAAGACAAATTAAGGCAAATAAATGACAGTCTAAGGAAGAAAAACCTACGTTTAATTGGGGTTCCCGAGGGCACCGAAAGGGCCAGAGGGCCAGAATATGTATTTGAACAAATCCTAGCTGAAAACTTTCCCAATCTGGGAAGGGAAACAGGCATTCAGATCCAGGAAATAGAGAGATCCCCCCCTAAAATCAATAAAAACCGTTCAATACCTCGACATCTAATAGTGAAGCTTGCAAATTCCAAAGATAAAGAGAAGATCCTTAAAGCAGCAAGAGACAAGAAGTCCCTGACTTTCATGGGGAGGAATATTAGGGTAACAGCAGACCTCTCCACAGAGACCTGGCAGGCCAGAAAGGGCTGGCAGGATATATTCAGGGTCCTAGATGAGAAGAACATGCAACCAAGAATACTTTATCCAGCAAGGCTCTCATTCAAAATGGAAGGAGAGATAAAGAGCTTCCAAGACAGGCAGGAACTGAAAGAATATGTGACCTCCAAACCAGCTCTGCAAGAAATTTTAAGGGAGACTCTTAAAATTCCCCTTTAAGAAGAAGTTCAGTGGAACCATCCACAAAAACAAGGACTAAATAGATATCATGATGACACTAAACTCATACCTTTCAATAGTAACTCTGAACGTGAATGGGCTTAATGACCCCATCAAAAGGCGCAGGGTTTCAGACTGGATAAGAAAGCAGGACCCATCTATTTGCTGTCTACAAGAGACTCATTTTAGACAGAAGGACACCTACAACCTGAAAATAAAAGGTTGGAGAACCATTTACCATTCAAATGGTTCTCAAAATATACCCTAAAAACTATAGAACACTTCTGAAAGAAATTGAGGAAGACACAAAGAGATGGAAAAATATTCCATGCTCATGGATTGGCAGAATTAATATTGTGAAAATGTCAATGTTACCCAGGGCAATTTACATGTATAATGCAATCCCTATCAAAATACCATGGACTTTCTTCAGAGACTTAGAACAAATTATTTTAAGATTTGTGTGGAATCAGAAAAGACCCCAAACAGCCAGGGGAATTTTAAAAAAGAAAACCATATCTGGGGGCGTCACAATGCCAGATTTCAGGTTGTACTACAAAGCTGTGGTCATCAAGACAGTGTGGTACTGGCACAAAAACAGACACATAGATCAATGGAACAGAATAGAGAACCCAGAAGTGGACCCTGAACTTTATGGTCAACTAATATACGATAAAGGAGGAAAGACGATCCACTGGAAGAAAGACAGTCTCTTCAATAAATGGTGCTGGGAAAATTGGACATCCACATGCAGAAGAATGAAACTGGACCACTCTCTTGCACCATACACAAAGATAAACTCAAAATAGATGAAAGATCTAAATGTGAGACAAGATTCCATCAAAATCCCAGAGGAGAACTCAGGCAACACCCTTTTTGAACTTGGCCACAGTAACCGGAGAAGGACAAACAGTGTATGTTCTCATTCATTTGGGGAATATGAATAATAGTGAAAGGGAATATAAGGGAAGGGAGAAGAAATGTGTGAGAAATATCAGAAAGGGAGACAAAACATAAAGACTTCTAACTCTGGGAAATGAACTAGGGGTGGTGGAGGGGGAGGAGGGCGGGGGGTGGGGGTGAATGGGTGACGGGCACTGAGGGGGACACTTGACGGGATGAGCACTGGGTGTTATTCTGTATGTTGGTAAATTGAACACCAATAAAAATTAATTTATAAAAAAAAAAGAACTGGGGAATTCTTGCATTTCCTGAAACCCAACCAGCAAACCCTCAGAGAACCCCATACTGCAATCCCCTACTTCAGGCATTTGATAACTTACTAGTCAAGGAACAGCTCTAATGACTCATTTGATCAGAAAATATCTTTGAGCCGTTCCCATTGGGCATACCCTAAGGGAGATGCATAGAAAAGACTAGAGAGAGATGTGAGGCTTGATGCTGCCTTCAAGGGGCTCACAGTCTAAATTCAAAGACGAGATGTGCATGCCCAAGCAGGTAAAATAATGGTAAAGCAATGCCATCATCTTCTGGACTGCTGTGGTTGAGACACACTCTGGCAGGCAGTGGTTAGAAACTGAACACCATGAGATTAAAAAGAAACTCTTACCTATAGACTTATTATCCAGTCTATTCCTATCCACTTTGCTATAATGTAAAAAAGATCCTTCTATGAGGCTCTTTCCAAGAATGCTTAAAACCTTAAAAAAATCTTTGGGGAAAAAGTGGTGGCATTTTCTTCTAAGTGATTATTTTCATTGCCATTAAAATGAAAATAAAGTCACTGGCCAAGAATGCACTGTTGACCTTTCAGCCAGCAGCTCTAATTTAAAATCCTGTTTGCAGCGGCATTTATTGATTAAAAGTTATGTGACTGCTGGCTTTGAGAAACTCCTTTTCTGCTCCCAAAATGTAAAGCCAGCCATAACTACCATAATTCACATTTCTACATTGCACAAATGAGATGAAAATATGTGAAAGTTCCCTACCTGTCCAGGAAAGAGCAGTATTGGCTGTTCTTGAAGGTCAAACCAGAACCTAGTGGTCTTTTTCACCACTGGGACTGGTTAAGAGGTCATCATCTTATTTGGAAAACTGTCCAGACAGTTCTTCTGAAGTCATTCTTAGTAGAGAAGGGAGCTAAGAGTGAAGACAATTGTGCAAGCAAAGCCAAATGAGCTAAAAACAAATTCCTTCTGCTGACTTTTCAACATTTTAGCCTCATTCTTCCTTATATTGGGGATTGCTACATCTTCCTTGACATCAAAGAGAAAAAGATTGACAGTGAAAGAGAGAGAGAGAGACTTCAACCAGCCTAAAATCCAGGAAAGCAGCGAGCTCACTGAAAGACTAAGGCTTTTTCTTTCTCCTCCTGCCCTCCCTCCATCCTCCACCCCTCCTCTTTCCCCTCCTTCTCTCTCTCATCTTCATCTTTCTTTGTTAATTGTAGTAAAATACACACAGCAAAATGTACAGTGCAATGGTATTAAATATATTCGCATGGCTATGCAACATCATCACTGCCAGTCCACAGAAACTTTCATCATCCTCACCTGAAACTCTGTCCCCACTAAACACTAACTCCCCATTCTTACCTCCCTACTGCCCCTGCAACCACCATTATACCCACTGCCTTTATGATTTTGACCGAGTTCTTCATGTGTATGGAATCATATAATATTTGTCTTTTTGTGGCTGGCTTATTTCACTTAGCATAATGTCCTCAAGTTTTACTCATGTTGTAGCATATTAAAGAATATACTTCCTTTTTAAGGCTGAATAATATTCCATTGTGTGTGGATATGCCACAGTTTGCTAATCTGTTTTCCCATCAGTAGCCACTGGGTTGCTTCCACATTTTAGCTATTGTGAATAATGTTGCTATAAACATTGGTGTACAAATATCTCTTCAAGACCCTGCTTTTCAAAGATTTGGGGTGTATATTCAGAAGTGGAATTGCTTGATCATGTGATAATTTTATTTTCAATTTTTTGAGGAACCTCAGTACTGTTCTCCACAGTGGCTGCACCAATTTACTTTCCCATCAATAATGCACAAGGTCCGAATTTCTCCACATCATCACCAACACTTGTTCTTTTCTTCTTTCTTTCTTTCTTTCTTTCTTTCTTTCTTTCTTTCTTTCTTTCTTTCTTTCTTTCTTTTCCTTCTCTCTCCCTTCCTTTTATAATCATCGTAATGAGTGTGAGGCGGTATCTCATTGTGGTTTTGATTTGCCGTTCCCAAATGATGAGTGATGCTAAACATCTCTTCATGTACATATTAGCCATTTGTAAATATTTTTTGGGTAAACCATCTGTTCAAGTCCTTTGCCCACTTTTGAATCAGGTCGTTTGGTTTTTCTGTTGAGTCTTAGAAATTCTCTCTACATTCTGGATATTAATTCCTTATTAGATATATGACTTACAAATATCTTCTCTTAATCTGTAGGTTGCCTTTTTAATTTGGGTAGTGTCTTTTGTGCACATTTTAAGAAATTTTCATGAAGTCCAATTTGTCTATTTTAAATTTTGTTACCTGTGCCTTTGGTGTCACATCCCAGAAATCACTGCCAAATTCAATGTCATGATGTTTTTGTCCTGTGTTTTCTCCTAAGAGTTTTAGTGTTTTAGGTCTTATATTCAGGTCTTTGATCCATTTTTGAGTTAATTTTTGTATGTAGTATTAGGTAAGGGTCCAACTTCATTCTTTTGCAGGTGGATATCCAGTTTTCCTACACAATTTGTTGAAAAGACTGTTCTTTCCCAATAGAACAGCCTTGGCACCCTTGTCAAATATTATTTGACCATAATTGTGAGGGTTCATTTTTGGACTCTCTATTCTATTCCATTTGTCTATGTGTCTGTCTTTATGCCAGTACCACACTGTTTTGATTACTGTAGGTTTTTTAAAAAAAGATTTTACTTATTTATTCATGAGACACACACACACACACACACACACAGAGAGAGAGAGAGAGAGAGAGAGAGAGGCAGAGATGCAAGCAGAGGGAGAAGCAGGCTCCATGCAGGGAGCCCGATGTGGGACTCGATCCTGGGACCCCAGGATCATGCCCTGGGCTGAAGGCAGGTGCTAAACCACTAAGCCATGCAGGCGCCCCTGATTACTGTAGTTTTATAGTAAGTATTAAAATTGAGACATATGAGTTTTAATCTTCTTTTCAAGATTGTTTTGGTTATCTAGGGTCCCTTGAAATTCCATACAAACTTTAGGATGAGTTTTCTATTTCTGCAAAAAAGATCACTGAGATTGCATTGAGTCTGTAGATTGCTTTGTGTAGTATTGACATTTTCACAATATTAAGTCTGCAAATCCATGAACATGGATGTGTTTCCATTTATGTTCTAAGTTTTTTTCAGCAATGTTTTGTAGTAGTTTTCATTATACAAGTCTTTCACTTCCTTAATTCCTCAGTATTGTTCTTTTTGATGCCACTGAAAATGTTTTTGTAATTTCCTCTTCAGATTTCTCCTTGTTTGTCTATAGATATGCAACTGATTGTTTTGTGTTGGTTTTGTATCCTGCTACTTTGCTGAATTCATTGATTAGTTCTTAGATACTAAGGCTTTTTAACTAGGAAAACAATATAATATTATTTATTTATAAATAATGATATTGTCTATTATAACAATATAATATTTAATAGATATAATAATTTAAATAATATTTAATTATAATTAACATAACAATATATAAATATTATAAAATAGTATATTTAATCTTTTAAATATAACCACACCTGTCTCCTCCAAGTCATGAACCATTAGAAAAACACAAATCTCCACTTCATCTGGCTATGGAACTAATGCTCCAGTATCATGGGATATCATGTGGTTTACCTCTTGGTAAATATAAAAAGTGACATAAAGGTTAATTTGTATTCCTCCAATCCAGGAATTTCTGGAGATCGGGGACTTCTTGAGAAGCACCTGTAAATTCCCAAAGTCTCTCAAATCCTTGTCTCTCTCCAAAAGTCCAAGGGCTCTGGGAAATGCCAGGGTTCCTGGGCTGCTGGGGCTGTTAACCTTCACACTTGACTTTATCTGGGTTGGTTCTTAAGCAGCGAAGGTGCCTGCCCGCTTGCCCGCACACCTGTGTGCACAGCTCCTGCTTCAGGCCCGCTGTGTGTTTGGGGGGGGGGGGGAGGGCAGAGCTGCAGAAGGGGGAGGGGGAAAGAAAGGGCTGTGAGCATAGTGGAGAGCACAACCAAACTCTCCCTGGTCACCAGGCCCAGACCGGAGTGTTTCCTGCCTCGCCTTCCTGAAGACACGGGCTGCCAAGTTTGAATCAGCTGCCGCTTCCCTAATCACCAATGGGCCCGAAGGTGAGAATAGCATGTCATTACCCCCACTCCCCCAGAGGCTGTGCTGCTCTAAGACTTGGTTACTGCAGGCCCAGGCTTGGAGAGGGAGGGTCCCCAGGCACTCACTGCTGTCCTCTGCACCCTCTGCAATTCCTCCCTCCTGCTGCTCCCTCTCCCTAGAGCCCAGGCTGGCTAGCCTCCCACCCCGGCCTGCTCTGGCCCAGTCCTGCCAGCCAGGGCGGTGGTCACACAAGAAGTGAGGCCTGACTCCCACTCCCTCCAAATCAAGTTTCCTTGCCCAGCTGCCTACTCAGGGCCCTCTGCAAGTGAAGTGGGCCATGGAGGACATCATTTAGTCAGGCTCAGTAAACACCAAACCCAGCCTGTAAGGGTAGGGCCACAAGCGATCACAGGCAGCCTGATGGAAGAGCCTGAAGAAGAAAAACACAGAATCCTACATGGAAATTAGCTATGTAACCTGCTCGTTTTAGGACAAAGAAGCCAAGTCTCCCCTGAGAGCTTAAGAATGAGCTTCTGAGTCCAGGTCTGCCACTAACTAGCTAGGTGACACTACACAAATGACATGACCACCCCTCCACCCCCCAAGGCTTTAGTAAAATGTAACAAGTGAGCCACAGTCCTGCTCCAAAGCTCTAGGATTTTAATTAAAATTTCCAGTTGAAAGCAGCCAGCCACCTGTGTCTGGTTGCAAGGGGAGGCTCAAGTTGTGTGTATTGATCCCAGGGTACTTGAATGTTTGTGTTCCTCTCATCAAGTGGTAACAGAGGCTGCCTCCTCCGAGCTGCAGACTCACAGCTCCAGCCCCAAAGCTGGAAATGCTCTTGAGTGCTTCCTTTCACCCTCTACTCTGAGGCATCTATGGCTTCTGCTTTACCCAGTGGAAGCACAGAGCATCCCTTGTCCCTGAGAGAAGAGGAGGAAACTGCATTCATTAGGGAGCTCCCAAGAGGAAGTAATATGCATGGGGTCCCCACTTGCTACATGAGCACCCATGTATAAAGCACAGTCAAGAATGGTGCGTGACTAGTAGGCAAAAAGAACCGGCCCCTGCCAAGGATCCCTTTGACTAGGCAAGTACCACACTGTATTTAAAATAAGTGCTTACACATACATGCACATGTGCACACACACACGTTAATTATTGCCATAGCCCAAACTTCTGGACCTTTCCTCCATAGGCAAAGCTGGAGACTTTCTCATCAGGAAAGCTGCCTAGATTAGTGGAGAAGGAAAAGGCTACTGAGCCATTTAATCCAAAACCCATAAAGAGGACCCCCTGCCCCAATACTCGCTGATAATTCTAACTGATTGGTTAGCCAAGGGAAAAAGGAAAAACCCTGGTGTCACGAGGCTGCAGTGCCTGTCAGCAAAGGCTCAGAGACTCAGCACTTCAGGGCAAAGTGTACCCTTCCTGCTGTTCCCTCCTCACAGGTTCTGTCACTTTCTGGAAGCTGTTCAGTGGAGCCTGTCCCATTGCAAACTTCATTCCTGTAAGTTGGGCAATTGATTGGAAATAACTTCCATGCTTTAGGTTTGTTGTTTTCTCTTTTTCTTTCTTTTAAGATTTTATTTATTTAGTTGAAAGAGAGAAAGCATGAGCGGGGGGGGGGCAGGGGGGAGGGAGAAGCAGACTCCTGCTGAACAGAGAACCTGATGTGGGGCTCGATCCCAGGACCTGAGATCATGACTTGAGCTGAGGGCAGATGCGTAACCGACTGAGCCACCCAGGTGCCCCTATGTATTTTTTTTTCTTTTTTGACACTAGCCTATGTAACACAGCAACTCTTCTGAGCTCTATGTTTTTAGCTTTATTTTTCTATATAGTCTTCCTATCTTGCTGAAAGATTAACACCAGCACAGTGATTACTTCTAACTATAAATGAGATACAACATTCCACTTGCCATTGTCTGACAGGTAAGCTTTATCTGCAATGAGCCCCATGTGCATCTGTGATGGGCTGTGTGTGTGTCTGTGTGTATATGTCTGAAGGCCCTATGTCTGTGTGTCTGTTTATGAGTGGTCCTGTGTGTATGACTGTGATGGGCTATGTTTGTGCGTATGTGTCTGTGATGGGCCATGTCTGTGTGTATCTGTGATGGACCTTGTGGATGTCTCTGTAATGGGCCCTATGCATGTGCTTTCCAGTCCAAGGACAAAGCGCAGGTCAGCAGCATTGCAGTGACAGCAGGAGATGTCCTTGTCTATGTGGCTAACCAGAAAGGCTTTGTGCACGTCTACGACATCAAAGAGTATGGCCTGCAGGGACCCGAGCTGCAATTCCCCAAGAGTAGGCAATGAACTCTTCATGTTAAATACTATGATAAGCAAAGCTTCAGTTTTAATTTGATATTCTCGTTGGCAAAATTAAATTGTACCAGTGAGGATGGGGGCGGGGTCTCTTAAGCCTTTTAAGAATGGATTTAGAAAAAAAAAGAATGGATTTAGAAATAAATATTTTCAGGAAAATATTCATGGTTGGTGAGGTTACTGGGAAATGGGCAGTCATATACTCTTAGTAGGGGGTCAACTGGTATATACTCTAGGCAAGTTGATAATACATATCTAAAGCTTCAAACCAGCAGCCCTACTCCTAGGCATTTGGCTGAAAGAAGTAATAGGACATGTGCACAAAGATTCAGATATCAGGTTGTGAATCAATACATTGTTTGTAAGAGAGAAGGATGATAATTAGAGACAGCCTGGATATCCAACATAAGGAAAATTGATTCAGTACATGATGGTGTGACAAATACACTGGAATATTACCTAGTCATTAGATAACAATGCTGTATATGAAAATGTATTCACAGAAAAATACTCCTGGTAAATTAGTAAATGAAAAAATTCAGATTGCAAAGCAACATTAAAGTATGAGTCTTTGTTAAAATTAAGAAGTATATGGAAGATTGAAAATCTGGAAAGACATACACTGAAGTTTTAACAAATGTTATCTCTTTGAGATAACACTGAGGTTATGGATGTGTTTTGTTTTTTATTTTTGGAAATCTGTATTTTCTAAATTTTCTGGGAACATATTGCTTTAGCAGTAACAAAAATGTTTAAAATTTTAGAGCTCTTTCATACAATTGTGAAAGTGCTTAAGTTTAGAAAAAAATCAACACAAAAGAATGGAAAATGAAAAGTGGTAGTTGTTACTCTGACCTCTTCTACCACCTAACCTGCCATTTCTGCATCCCAGGAACACTGTTAATGAATTTTAATTTTTTCCCAGAAGATACATACACACACACACACACACACACACACACGGGCATCTATATATACACAATACATAATTTTCAGTACTTGTTTGGTTTTTCTCTTTGTATCCCTTAGACAACTTTCCAAATAAGTATATTTAGCTCTGTTTAGAATATTTAATATCTAACATGTCTAAATGTCTATATGAAATCCCATTAAATACATTTCTATAAAGCCAATATAGAGGTAAATATTCACATACTTCCATTTAGTCACCTTTTCCTGTTCACCACAAAAGTTTAAATGCTACTGTAAAAGAGATTGGAATCTAGAAGTAAGAGCCACCTGCTAGCCTTAGTTCTTTACTCCAGGTACTGGGAGCACAGCTCTTACCAGGCTATTTTACAAAGCTTTTTTGGTTACTTGTCTACTCCTGCATGCTTACCAAACCATAAACACTGAGGGAAACAATAACATAAGCACCTAGCATGGGAGCCATTTTATGTCTTTGGACCTGACAGGGGGTCTTGTGCATAGTAGGTGCTTGATAAACACTTATCAATTAATGTAGCAAAACCAACAAGTGCCACACCAGTACCTTTCTCTTTTCTGGACACTCACCCAGATCTGACCCCATCCTATAGGAACTGTTTTCTTTTTTTTTATATGTATATTTTTTATTGGAGTTCGGTTTGACAACATATAGTATAACCCAGTGCTCATCCTGTCAAGTGTCGTACAGCATCTAGCATCATGGTGGTTAACTCTCCCACTGTACTCAGGTGTGTTCTTCCTTTCGATTCAGATGTGATGGTCTGGCGGGCCCATGTCAGTGTGGTGACATCGTGCGTACCATCCATTTTAGAGTTCAAGAATTTGTAAGAGTTAAAATATGTTCATAACTTTCATCAAATCAACCATCTCAAGAAGGCCTCTGAATTAATAAAACTAGGAAAATGGTATTACAATCCTGCTGTTAGGGAAGCAAGATGTATGTATCACTTGCACAGCATTGACTAGAAGTCTTTGTTTTTCTTGTAAATGGTTAATTATCTTCCTTGAACTGATCTGATCTGGTATTTTACTTTAAGTTTAGAAACTTCGTAAATTTATTTTATCTATCTATCTATCTATCTATCTATCTATCTTTTATTTTTCTACTGAGTTGAAAAGACTCCGTGCTCACGGCACAACCTGAACTTTCGTCAGGCTATTTACAACCTCTTGATCTTCCCCCAGACCCATCATCCATAAGATGGTTTCCATTGTATCTTGTTTGATATCTTGGGGCTGGAGCTGGAGAATTTGGAGAGTGTGGTGTGGTAAGAGGGAAAGAATGGTACCAAGAATAATTCAGAAGATTGGCCTGGCTTCTATATTAATGGAGCATTGATCCAATGTCCCTTTTATGCTGGAGCAGGCTTGGAGCATCTATCCTCTCTTTTTATCTCATTACTTTGGAGCTGGTAGAAGAAAAGTTTCTATTGTCATCCTCCCTTGACCGCACTGTGTGCCTGTGGAGCAGGAATGGGGGAGTACATAGGTATGGAACATCTACCTGGCCACCTCCTTAGTCCCATTTCTGGGCTTCTGATGTCGCCTCTGTCAAGTCATGAATTCTCTGAGGCCACGTGTACTAGTCAGCTCAAGCTGCCTAACAAATACCATTGACTGGGCGACTAAAACAATAGACATTCATTTCTCACATGAGAATAGTTCACAGACTAGAAGTCTGAGATCAGGTGCTAGCATGGTCTGGTTCTAGAGAGAGCTCTCTTCCTGGCTTGCAGAGGGCCATCTTCTTGTATCCTCACATGGCAGAGAGACTGCTCTGTTATCTCAGATTCCTGTCAGATCAGGATTCCACCCTCATGACCTCATTTTAGTCTTAATTACTTCCATGAATGCTTTATCTCTAAATATAGTCATATTGGGGGTTAGGGCTTTAACATGTGAGCTTTGGGGGGAAACAGAATTAAGTCTATACCTTAAAGGCAACTTATTTTCACAATAATTATTAAAATCAAAGACATTTAAATGTAGAGAACTCAGCTAGATTGAACTCGGTGAGCTTGGTAAGGAACCGCATTATCATAGGGTCATGCCTTGGTAGGAACAATTCAGGACTGGGGAAGCTGTGCATGGGGAAAGGCCTAGCCAGAGTGGGCTGAAGTACTAAGATTAACTTGAATTACTGTGTAGAGAGACTCTGTACCTATTTCAGTAGGTCATCTGCTCTCCCTAACTGATATTCCTGGAGGCAAATGCTAAAACCGTTTAGAATTTATCCTGTAAGTCCTTAGTATATTACTGAGTAGATTAAGCACCCACGTGATGCATTTTGTAGGAGGCACACCAGGCTCAAGTCTCCAGAGCCAACTGCCCTGGAGTTGTTTCTTATGAACTACAGAAGCAGAACTAAATTTGATTAGGTTGGTTGCTAGGTTGACCTAGCAATCTTAGCAGTAAGCTTTGCTCTGATTAGAAGACAGGTCAGTTTCCGTACTATGCTTATTTTTCTCTATTCTTCCAGGAACCTTTGGGCAGCATAGCCCTAGGGATATTTTCACTCCTGCCTCCTGGAGCCACCCTAGAGTGCCCTATGAAATTTTGACAGATCCCCGGAGTATGCCTGCTCTCCCAGTGCTGGAACAAGATGTGGCTGCTATGCACACAGAAGAGGAAGGGCAAGAAAACGTGGTGGTGGAAGAGTTTAAGGTTGGTTCTAGCACATCCAATTCACATTTTTGCATTTTTAGAATTTTGTGGTTTCCAGGCAGATCAGCATGGAGTACAAACTGCAGCGTGAAAGAGTCAAGTAACGACCCAGAGAACCAAATAAATATGGGAATTAAAAGTGTGTCCCTAGATCATGATACTGACCAGAGTCGGGGTGAGATTTGTTGGTCCATCTGTGGAAATGGTCAAAGCTCATCTCCCAGTGTCACTTGACTTTGTCTTCCTTTTGACCAACAAAACAGTGACTGCCCATGGCCTTAGAATGTAAGGAAACTCAGCCTCATGCTCAGCCCAGCAGTCATATCTGAGAAGGACAGACACTGAAAATTCAGCGCACTGCACACACTCCCCATTAAGAAATACACACAAAACCTTGGCTTCCTAACAAGTGAAAGGAAGAAATTATCAGGTTAGTACCCCAGTCTATGAAAGTCAAAATTGGAGCAAGAGATTTTGAGAAGGCTCTGGTAGATGCAGTCTTGATTTAGAGCTTAGTGAAATATATGGAGTTCCGAGAAATGCTTGCCCTTTAATAAATTGAAAAGAAGGTCATTTCATGAGCTATTGCTCACTGGTTATGTTACAACTCAAAGCAGAACACCTGCTCTGCCAGCAAAATAATGTGTCTCGGGTTTTTCCTTGGCAGCCTCCTAGAATACTGATCACACAGTGTAACCTCGTCACTGACTTTTGTGTAGATCCCCAAACATGTTCAAAATAGGAAATAAAGGGACTGGGCAAACATAGATCAAGAAGACCTTCTGTCTTGTCAGAGGCCTCTCACATTTCCACAATCGTGTTCTCATAAGCATTCCCAAGGTTATAAAGAGGTACGACGGTGGCTCTCAGGATATCAGAATGTGTCTACCCAGCACTATCGGCCTATTTAGAAATACAATAATTTCAGTGTGCATTTGATATAGAGAAAATAAATGAGTTCATTAATTTTGATAGACCTGCAATTTGGAAACAAAAGCACACAGGGAGGAGAGAAGAAAGGAAGGCGAGAATGAGGGAAATGTGCTGATGTGCACAGAAGCCAGGGGGATGTTTGGCTGAGAGGCAGTCCTAGAGAAAAATCTGCTAGCAAGTCTAATGTAGGAACAGGAAGGAGGGAGCAGAGGGAGAGCAAAGCAGGAAGAAGAGGGAAAAGAGGGGAGAACAGAGGCAGGAGGGGAGGAAGGCTACTCAGTTCAACAAATCAAAATAGATAATTTACATGGTGTTTGTTCTCTGAGGGAAAAGGGGGTTGCAGTAGACTCCAGGATTGACCTAGATCTTCATCCACGGTACCTCAGGTAATGGACTGAAAGTTCTTTCCAACAGAAATACACAGGAAAGAGGAAAATAATCTGAGCCCTTATATACTGTATTTGGGCCAGTCAATGGGAATCCAAACTGTGAAATTGCAGAATAAAGTGTTTGCTGCATAGTTTACAAGATATGACCACCTGAGTTCTGCTCTCCAGTTCACCTTCATTAGATGTGTGACCTTCAGCAATCACTCCCAACAATCTATGAAATGAGAAGGGGTGTTAGCTGATCTGTGAGTTTTATTCTAGCCCTAAAAATGTTACATTTCTCAGAATTTCTGTTTTGCAAAACTGAATGTGTTGATTAGGTTTTGGGTGTCAGTAGTGATTGTTCCAGAATGCCAGCATATCAAACATAACCATAACTAAAATAAGGTGATGGGATGCAGAAAATCATTCGCCTGGAAAATATCACATATGAGTTAGTGGTTTGGAAATTGAGTAAAACCTCAGGGAGAGATGCTCTTGTTTTCTAACCAATTCAGCCAACTGGGATCTTGTTCCAACATGGAAAATTCATGTAACTGACAAGTTATCCGTGTTCCCTGTCACCATGGCCATAACTGTTCCTTCTTCTTTCAACCTGAAAAGACTCCTAACTCTTGCTCTCTAGAAGAACCCATCCTTGAAGCTGAAATGAAAGAAGACATAAATTGATGGTATGCATTTCTCAATGGCAGGTCAGCCTAATGGGAAGAGCCAGGTTGACGCAAGCAACCCCACCCCCCCACAGTAAGGTAGCCTTTCCTGGCTGAGGAATCTTAGGACACTCTGTCATCAGTGTGAGTCACTTGTCCCTAAGCCCCCAGCCTGTGAGTATAATGAGGTCACCATTCAAATCTCACCCGTTTAATGTCCTACCTGCCTAACTGGACACTCTGAGCCCCAGTTCTGTCTAGCCATCCCAGGTGGTCAAGGGCTATCTTTTTGGGTGCTTTACCTGGAGCTCCATGGCTGATGTTCTTGCCCTCAAGGCCACATGAGGCAGCGCCCCCATTATTATTCCTCCTGCAGCCACTCTGACCTCCTAAGGGTGTGGGGTTGGGGGCAGGTACTGGGGGTCCCAAAGCTCAGATAACATGGACCACCACAAAGGCCCTGTGTGCCCTCCAGTCTTCCTGCACTGGGATGTGGCTGCGCTCTACAGAGAAGTAAGATGAATGAAAACCTCTCTTGGCAGTTCGGTGAGGTGGGCCCCAAACCAGCCTTCTTGGGCCCCAGCCACCAAGATGCCTGGAAACAGCCCCTTCAGTGTCACCTGCTGCTCCTTTCATCATGGGGTTTATATCTAGGCCATGGGACCACATGGGTGATGACACCATCCCGACTTGCCCAGTTCCTTGGTGAGTGGCTCCATGTCATCAGGAGCCCAGGCCCTTTCTTCATACTTCTGCCCACTATCTTAGCTCTGGTTTCTGTCTTCACTATCATCTTATGGTACAAACAGTTAGTAGGGCCTCCCATCTTCCAGACAGTGTGAAGAAACAGGCCCATGGAGGTCCAGGACAAAAGGGAGGCCCATCCCAGCCAGATTGGCTTCTTTTATAGGCTTTTCCAGGAGGTTCTACACACTTCTGCTTATATCCTGTTGGCCAGAACTTAGTCACATGGGCCACACCTAGCTATAAGAGAAGTTCAGAGTTCTGTAACCAAGGAGGAAAGCAGCAGAGGATTTTTGGTAGATGGCTAGCAATCTCTGTTCCAGTGAGTCAAATAGAAAAACGTTTCAGATGCTATCAAAATCAGAGGGCGTCACACATGGAAACACTACCATGAATATCATGACAGAAAATGGCTGACGGCCATGAATCTAAAGTTTGGTTTGGGAGAAAATTTGGCTGGTTAGACAATGACATGGGCTAAGATTATAGTTACAGGTCTGTCTCTGAAAACAGTGTAACCTCAGGCAAATCATTTAAACTTCCTGTTGATACACCTAGAGCTCTCCCAGGTGGATTTGCAATCTAAGGAAATGGTAAGCATAACAGTGTATTGCTCTGGAGATGGAAGAGGATAGGGCTTCTCCACCCACAGACACTGGGGTTTGACATCACCAGCGTCTTCACCATTGTCATCATGGGTAGCAGCAGAATCAACATTATTCTTTAAACATCTTCGCACAGAACCAGCTTGGGTTTTAGTTGCCTCTCCTCAGAGTGTTAATCTGCTCAGGCTAATGTAACAAAATATGAGACCAGGTGGCTTACACAACAGACATTAATTCTTATAGTTCTGGCGGGTGGAAGTCTGAGATCAAGTTTCTGGAGAACTCAGTTCCAGGTGAGGCCCTTCTCACTGTGTCCTTATGGGGTGAAACAAGAATGATCCCTCTTCCTCTTCTTCTAAAGATGCTAATCCTATCCTAAAGGATCATGACTTCTCAACCCTAATTATCTTCCAAAGACCCATCTCCAAATAGCATCACACTGGGGGTTAGAGCTCTAACATCTGAGTTTTGAGGGACACCATTGAGTCAATCACCAGAGATTGCTGTGGGTGTGAGGTGGGGAGAGGCTTCCAAAAAACATAAACCAACAGGGGAGGCAGCTGCAGGAAGATGCCATCACACTCTCTAGGTTCACTCCAGGTGGGGCAGCATGAAAGTCTGCTCTGGACCCAGCACCAATTCTCTACTGCTCCCTGCTGAATGGCCACAAGAGTGAAACATAAAGGAGGAGCTATGAACAGTGAAGAGAAGAGGCCAGAGTGGGGCTGCTTAGAGAGTCCCAATCAGGAGGGTAACCAGTGGAAAATACTCTCATCCAAATGGATTGATGCCAGTGGTTGTTGTGCTATTTAAAAATATGTTTTTTAAGGCAGGAAACCAATGTACATATAGTAAATGTTTTATTTCAACATGCAACAGTAAAATGTACCTTCATTTCCTAATCTTTGGATGTCGGGCCAAGACCTGTTCTTCAACTAAGAGGAGTTCAGCACAGTCTTTCATAAATACATTGTATACGACTTTCAGTTTCTGCTTTAAGTACAGCAAGAACTTAAATATATTTGCAAGGCAACATGAGCACTGTAGCCTCCTAGATTTTTAGAATTTTCTCTAAGCTTTGAAAGTTGTCCCATTTATCCTCAATTCAATATCACCCTTCATGTAGTCTTTCCAAAGAATTCATGTTAGTTTCCACAAGTTTGTCTTCACACTAATTTCATCAATTTTCAAATCATTTAAATTAATTGATAATCGCGGGGTGCCTCAGTGGCTCAGCTGGTTGGGTGTCTGCCTTCAGCTCAGGTCGTGATCCCAGGGTCCTGGGATCCAGCCCAGCATCTGGCTCCCTGCTTAGAGGAGAGTCTGCTTTTCCTTCTCCCTCTGCCACTCCCCCTGCTTGTGCTCTCTCTTTCTCTTTGACAAATAAATAAATAATATTTTAAAAATAATAAAAACAAATTAATCAATAATCACAATAAAATGTACCACTGGCATAAATAAGATTGGGAACAAACGCAGTGAGTCCTTGTTAAGCATTCAACTCAACCCTCAACCATTGAGAGCAGACATGTCATGTAGCAGATGTGACCGTTGGGAAGCTGGGGGCATCTGGTGATGTTTACAGAGTCAATCCACCAGTTCAGTCAGGAGGGACGTCTGCCTCATGTGATCCTTTTGAGTAGCAAAGATCAAAACAAATCAAACTGATGCTTTCCCTGGACAGCCTAGCTGCAGCCCTGTGGATGAGAAGACGAGAACTCAGGTGGGAAGGAGGAGGGGGAAGGTCCTGTCATTGGTCCACCCATACTGATTTTACAGATAC